GACAAAATAATTCAGTGTACATCATAAGGAATTGATAATAACAATCTTGTGCAAAGGACTGCTTGTGCTTTCATCCTGTGTCATGGAAGCTCAGTTTTTTCTTTAGCCCAGGAACAGCGAATGAACAGCTTTGATTTCCACGTACCGTGTGGTGAAACTTTCTTGCACATCCGCACTCGTTTAATGTTATTCAGAACATAAGGGATTTCGCTCAAGGGACTACTTTCCCTCCTTGACAAACTTCAGCGCTTCGGTATGCTAAACTAAATCGCATAGGGTTACAGCTCTCTATTTGGCAGGACTCTTGACGTAAAATACTTGCATATTTCGTAAAACATTGTAGGTATGGCATCTATCAGTTTTAAAATCTTCATTTTTTATTTGAACTAGTCAATGCCCAGAAAAAAAAAAAAAAAATACGTAAGCTTATCATTTAAAATTAAATTGCATTTTAAATAATATGTAAATTCGAAAAATCATAATAATACTTTGTCCAGTTACTATGTGTCTATAAATTCAATTAGGTTTATGTCCCTTAGTGCTTACTTACTGTATGCCCCTTATTAGAGAAATTAGCACACAAGTTCCTAAGCCGAACGCAATTTTTTTTAGCAACACATTCCGGCCGTTGTCGGGGGCCTAATATAATACAACCTGTAGGTTGGTCAGGGCTTTTTGACCTGTATTACCCCGGTGATCCTCACCGCGAGGTGGCACTTATGTGACCGACTGTCGCCTCAGTCTGATGTCCTTGGTGGGGTTGAACATTATCATCCTAGTAGGAGATGTGGGTCGTGCACGCAATGTGTGCATTTATAATTGTGTGTATATATGTGTACATGTGTGTGTTTACAAAAAACGTATACGTGCATTACTACTGGGTGGGGTGCAGACGCACATGTGTTTGTGTATATATCTATATACTATATATATGTGTGTGTGTGTGTGTGTGTGTGTGTGTGTGTGTGTGTAATTGTATGTCTATATATGTGTTTTGGTGTATAGCGCATACCAGCCCCCTCCGCAAACACCCTCATTAGGTACTAGAGTGCCGATCTAAGCCATTTCTTTTGGTACAACTTATTATTTCTAGCCAAACATATTTGGAACAAAGAAACCAGACCACAATTATAGCCGGATACTGCTTGCAGTCGGCTGAACGTGGTCGGTGAAATGCAGAAATGGAAGGACCACGAGTGTACATTGAGCATCCAAATAACACCAGGTATACAGCCAAAATATCAACAGGAAAGCACTGTCACAGCTAAGATGCAGAAGTTCAAGCCGTCAAAATAGTAGCAGAGAAACTGCTAAATAAATGTCATATTTCACAACCCAAGGTATTCCTGACATATGCACGAGCGGTACTTCAGGCTCTCGAATCTGGAAAATTACCTGGTATAAGGAAACTACTCTCCAAACTAGGTGACCGGTGTACGGTAACTATGCAATGGATACTATCCCATTGTGAACTTCCCGGAAATGAAAGAGCAGATAAACTAGCTAGAAGAAGGTGCAAATGAAGAACAAGTTGACTCACCGGTCTCTTTTCAACAGAAAAAGAGAATAATCAAGTCAATCAGAAAGCCACTAAAACCAGCAAATGACGATTACCATTTAATGGACAGACCAGAGCAAGTCATTTTTTAATGCCTTAGAACAGGGCAAACTCAACTTGGCATCCATATGTACACACAATTTAAGATTGGTGAATGAGCCATGCACACATGTGGATTAGCACCTGATACAACAGATCACATCCTTCAAGACTGTCCCAGGTACAACACATCAAGGCATAACTTTTGGCCAAGAGAAACACCGGTGCTAGTCAAACCTTACGGGTCCCTGAGTGAATTACTAAAGACAGTGAAGTAATATCTGTATACAGTTTTTACTTCTCTGTCATTTGACATTCTTTCAATATGCCCTAGCCATTTCAGTCTATTAGCTCTCATGATGCCAAGGATCAATGGTGACTGAAACAGATTATGAATTTCTTTATTGTTTCTCACTCTCTATTCCCAGCTGTCTGCATCTTTGGTAGCTATGGCTTTTTGATAGATAAACATATTAGTGCAGATAATCTTCCTTATGACTTTTAATTTGGCAATCAACTGGTTACATTAGAAAAGACAACACTTCTGACTATGTTAAACATTTAACTGAATACACTTGTTAACAGATCTGGTTAATCACATAATTCAGACATCACTAGGGTGCATGAAGTGATCAATTTTATATACAAAACAGTTTCTGAATAAATTAAACAGCAGTCTGTGAGAAAACTTAAGCTGCAGAACAAACCAATCATGCCAACTGGGAGAAAGCTAGCTGCAGAACTAACCAATCATGTCGACTGGGAGAAAACTTTAGCTGCAGAACTAACCAATCATGTCAACTAGGAAAAAACTTTAGCTGCAGGACTAACCAATCATGTCTACTGGGAGAATACTTTAGCTTTAGAAATAACCAATCATGTTGACTAGGTGAAAACTTTAGCTGGAGAACTAACCAATCATGTCAAATGGAAGAAAACTTTAGCTGCAGGACTAACCAATCATGTCTACTAAGAGAAAACTTTAGCTTCAGAACTAACCAATTATGTCTACTAGGAGAAAACTTTAGCTACAGAAATAACCAATCTTGTCTACTGGGAGAAAACTTTAGCTACAGAAATAACCATGTTTACTGTGAGAAAACTTTAGCTACAGAAATAACCAATCTTGTCTACTGGGAGAAAACTTTAGCTACAGAAATAACCATGTTTACTGTGAGAAAACTTTAGCTGCAGAAATAACCAATCATGTCTACTGGGAGAAAACTTTAGTACAGAAATAACCATGTTTACTGTGAGAAAACTTTAGCTACAGAAATAACCATGTTTACTGTGAGAAAACTTTAGCTGCAGAACTAACCAATTATGTTTACCGGGAGAAAACTTAAGCTGCAGAAATAACCAATCATGTCTACTGGGAGAAAACTTTAGCTGCAGAACTAACCAATCATGTCTACAAGGGTTTGGCATGAATAGGCTGACAGTGTATGTTCCAGTGGTATTCTCCTTTGCCCAAGGGTGTCCTACTGGCCAGTGGAGTGTGATCATGCACATGAGTTCTCAAATGTTTGGCCGTTATCCAAGAAGACTAAGCATTTGACCCAAAATCCAAGTATCGGGGGAAGGGTTACAGACATGCCTTTTCTGAAAATTATATTTTTTTCTAGAAATAATGCTCCTTTCCTTCAAATCTTAGACACAAGGAGTTGTACACCGATTTGGGCAGTAATGTAGATAAAGATGAGGGAACTGATAGAGATATTAAAATAAGAATAGAAAAGGCTAGAGGAGCTTTCATGGCAGTAGGGAATTTGTGGAGGTAAAAAAAAATTAAAAGAAATACTGAACGTACAACTTTTAATTCTAATGTCAAATCAGTACTTTTGTAGGGGGACAAACATGGAGAACAACTAAGGCAATTACTAATAAACTACAGACATTTAGTAACTGGTACCTGCGCAGAATAGATGGAATTAAATGGTATGATAGAATAACTAATGTAGAACTTTGGGAGAGAACTAAGCAAGCTCCAGTGGACCAAGAGGTGAAGAAAAGACGCTGGCATTGGACAGGACACACATTTAGAAAACGGGAGAACAATATAACTAGAATGTCTTTGCATTGGAACCCACAGGGGCATAGGAATGAAGCAAAGCAAAAAAACACACGGAAAAGGACATGGGGGAGAGCTGCATGCGATAGCAAAGGATAGAACGACTTGTGAGTTGGCTGAGGGCCTGTGATCCACTGAGGGCTAGAAAGGCAGAAGAAGAAGATCCTTTTTTATAGAAATAATGCTCACTGCCTTTATATCTAAGGCACAACTAACACTGTCAAGCCTTTGCACCATTAAGTGTCAATATGATTTGCCTTATTATTAATAATGTTTAAATATATTTTGCATCACATTAAAAACATTAAATTATTATTACTTTAAAAAATGCAGAACTTCTAGGAGACATCAACAACTTGTATTCCAAAATTCCCCGTGTGGGTTCCAGGACCCTATTGTAGGGAAAACAAGAACAGACCCACTGCCTCCCTTACAAGCATGTTGTAAGAGTCAACAATTGGGAGCTTCCTTTGAAGTCGGAGTGCACCTGCCTGAGCGGCAAGGAACCAACATCTGCACGCAAATGAGCAATATCTGTAAAACGGTGCACATGCAACACTCAGGTTCTGGAAAAAGACAAAAAGTCCAGAAGTGAAAAAACAGCAAGAACTTTCCGCTGGAGTTTACAGCCGGTGAACTTGAAGACGAAGAAGAAGAAGAAGTATTCCAAAATAAATTATCTTGTGCTATAATGGTCAACCTCGCTAAATCTGCCACTGACATTACTGACTGTATGTACCATTTTTGGGAAGGGGGAGGGGGGGGAGGTAGGGGTCTCTGAGTCTGAATCCCTATCATAATAACAATTAGTATAAGAAGAGTCCATTCCTGTATCACATTTTTGACATTAATGCTTTATACATCTCAATACGTTTTTCTTCGCTGCCATCTGCCAACCAAGATGCTCCATCAGCCTCAATTGTTGAGGAGGTTATGAGGCCTGCCATGTCGGATACCAAAAACAGACAGATTTCTCCAATCTCCTTTCTGGTACCCATACGTCGAATTGGAATTCTAAGACCCACGTCCTCAGCTGAAGCACCCATACCTTGAATATAAAATTTTTTTTCGTTAAATTTGTATTATCAAAAAGCTAATTTAAAGATGTGAATATGTAAAATGGACAGTAAACATTGTAAACATAAATTCCAAGACACTGAAAAATCAAGATTTGATGTTTTAAAAAAATGGGTGCTTTATTAATATCTTACCCCAAACAGGGAAAATCCACAGGTTACGGGACAGTCTAATATTTTAAGGGGTGGTAGATAGGCTGCATGTAGTCGGGGGACCTAGGCTGCACTCTCTCGTGGGACATAGGTGGGTTGGGGTTAGGGTCAGTTCTAGATGTTTTGGGGTCGTTAAAAGCATCAGAAAGCCAGAAAACCCAGTCTTACCACCCTCTAAAATGATGGACTGTCCTGTAACGTCATCTGGGGTAGGATATTAATAAAGCCCCAAAAATTGTATGATAACCAGGGACTAATTGATGTATTAAGAATAATACAAGAATAATACAACAAGAGTCCTAAAATTCGACTAATTGAGGTTATTTCCTTCAGAGTCGGTGTGCATCCATGTGAGAGGAACCAACAGTCTGCTTACAAATATGCCAGATCAGTAAGACGGATATGCATGCTAAACTCAAGTTTTGGAATAGGACGAAAGTATAGAAGTTCATGAACAACCAGAATACTACACTGGAGTTTACAGCCAGTGAACATGCAGAAGAAGAAACTGCTATAACTCACCGAGTCTGCTCATTCCTTCAGTATCACCTATTGGTCCAGGAGCCACACACAAAACTCTCACTCCTTTTGGGCCCCATTCCAAGGCCTGATGCTTTGTAAGCGTCTCTGTAATTAAAAATTGTGTCCCAAAATTTACTTTTTGCAGTTTCAAGTCAGTTACAAGAGGGTTCTTGATTTTCAATTAACCCCAAATAAAAGAAATTCTGGAGTTCCTGAGAAAATCCAATATTCTACGGGTGTTATGACATTAGAACAAAGAAGACACAAACAATAGACTGCACAATTTATTGCCTGGCATATTTAGCTGTATCTCGTCAGGTGCTTACTACAGTAACAACCATTTTAATTTTAATTAATTGTTACTGTAGTATGCACCTGACGAGATACAGCGAAATATGCCAGGCAATAAATTGTGCAGTCTATTGTTTGTGTCTTCTTTGTTCGAATTCACATCGGGGAAACATTGATTTGGTTATGACATTACTTCGGTTGTTTTTTGAATTTAATGTTTGGTGTTGATATAATGAATATGCGAAATAGTATGTATCCTACAGAGTGGTAAAGCTGCAACTTTGTATGAATGCTATGGGCAATCAGGGAATACGAACTGATATTTTGGGGCACGCCCTGAAAAGGGCCATTTTAGGTTACCATGCATACTGCTGGGTTCACAAGTTAACAATCATACATTTCTGCATGTCAGTAAATCTGGAGATGTTGAAGACAGTAACTGTTGATCAGCACCAACTATTGTTGCGGTGGCTGAAATAGAACAATGTAAGCAAGAATGACTGCGTCAAGACCAGCATACGTAACGTGTCCTATTCTGCCTCTTTATTTCATGAGCACTGAGTATGTGCAACTGTGGTAGGGTTGACAAAATTGTGGGAGTGGTTTACTGTGATATTCATCAACCGGGAATATTTTCAATTCCCTTGTACATATGCCAGAGGTTGGATACTACTGTTGTGCCAGGCTGAATGTATGTGCTTCTAAGTGGCAGAAGCATCGCTGCTGTTCTATCTGGAACACAGAATATAAAGCGCTCGTCACTGTCAAGACATATACCACCAAATATCCTCTGTTGTAAAAAAACTCATCCCTTCTGATCTTTTTTTGGCCTTGTAAATAGGCTGTCATCTATCTCAACTGTGGTATGTGGTCCTCTGATTACTGCAGGATTTAGTAACAGTTTCTTGGCCCTCCCTCCCTCACTCCAGTAAACAGTTGCTGTCGGTGGGCAACATCCCCAATTCTAACTGGCAAAATGAAATGCTTGACAACTCTTGAGACCAGTAGTATACAAAAAGAATGATAAGTCTGTAAGGCAAATCCAAGCCTAGTAGCCCTGTGCCTTCTCTGAGCGGGATTTTTTAACGGACAGTTCGAATGTCTGCACCTCCATTGGTCCTGGCATTCAGTCAGCAACACCCCCATGACATGATTAAACCAACAGCATCTGACATAATGTAAGATGCCATAATGCCATAATATCTTGTCTTGATCTCTTTGGTACAGCAGCCATCATTGCAAATGTGGAAGCCAAGGTATTTAAAGGTTTCAACGTTCGAGTTTTTTTTCCCTTTAATCTGTATGTTGGTAGGTAGTTGATTATTGTGGCTTCTTTACCAGAATCTTGCTTTTTTGAGGGGCATTAATTTCTAAGCCATATTTACCACAGACCGTCTCTAATTTTGCAGTAAGTTCTTAGAATTCTGCTTTGAAGCCAGCTAGATCATGCACATCATACTCAACAGTGATGTAACAGCATAGAATCACCAGAAATCTCTGATTTGCACCCTTAGAATAGTGGCAAAGTTTATTTTTGTCAGGACTTAACAGCCTGCTGCAAGTGAAACAGAGGAGTACTCTACTAAATAGGCCAGCAGGGAAAAGTGTAGCAATTTCTTCTCCTGATTAGCTCAAACGATATAATCTGGAAAACCAAGTAGTATATAAATAAAAAACAAAAACATTTTCAATAAGTCAACTAAAAGGGAAATTAATCCAGTGAACTGTGACTAAAAAGCTTAAATGAAATGGGGAAGCAGAAACAACGTGCACAAAACACACAAATCGACATTTTGGCCGAGGCCTTTCTTGACATGAACTAACTAAAGAACAATAACAAAGAGGAGTGTACTCCAAACACAGCGCCCACCAAGGGGTCACGTGAGAAACCATAAAAAGATGATGTGGAATGAATAAAATAAAACAAAGGAAGGCTTAAAAGAAAGTAATAAAAGTAATAGTGATAATATACAAAAATAGTAGGAATAAAAGAGTAGTAGAAGTACAAATGTAAATGATCTATAGCTGGTACTGATAAAAGATAGAATAAAATAATAATATGAAATAAAATAAAATATAAGCATAGACAATTATAAAGTAATAAAATTAAATTTAAAATGATGTGACAATAGTAAAAACTGTTTACATGAAGGTATGTTGACCATTGATACCATTAAGCCCAGGAGTCTCAATGTTCAACATACCTTCATCTAAACACCTAGATAGTTCACTGGATTAATTTCTTGGTATTAGCTTGACTGCAGTCACCCCTATTTTCAACTAAAAGGGGAAGGGTGATATTTGTTAAACAAAATGTAATTATATTATAGCAACATTTCAGAAAACAAATATACAGCTTCTTTCAGACTTCTCAGAACAAAAGTGTCTCATCTCACCTATAGCAGCTTTAGCACTCCCTACATGAGCTTGTAAAATTGTGCCTCTATGGTGCAACATGGCTGTTATGTTTATAATCACTCCTCCATTATTCTACAAGAAAAACCAGAACCAAAAAAATATGTCAGCAAAATGAAATTTATATTTTCTCTGGATGTACACTTATCTGTTTTAAAAAAAGGAAATGAGAAGCTTACATGTTTTTAACTCAATTGTTTCCTATTTTCTGGATCTGGAAAAGGCATTTGACAAGGTACCCTGGAACAAGCTCTGGGACTGCTTGGCAGGAAAAAACATCCTAGCACCCCTGATCAGTGCAATACAGAGTTTCTACAAAAAGTGCAGAAATTATGTAAGAACAGCAGACCAAAAGTCAGAAGAATTCAAGACTGCCAGCGGTGTTAGACAAGGTGATATTCTCTCACCTTACCTCTTCATTCTTATGATGGATGATGTCATCAAGACCTGTAAGGAGAAGACAAAGAAGTACTCTGTAGGGTACTGGAAGATGAGACCAATCTGTATATCAGAGCTGGCTTTTGCAGACGATGTGGCCCTGATAGCTAAATCAGAGGCACACTTTCAGTCCAACCTACTTGTCTGGAAGGAAGAGCCTGAAAAGAAAGGGATAACCATCAGTGTCTCCAAAACTAAAACCATGGTGATCTCAAGAGATGAGAAGAAACACCAGATCATGATGGGACAGTATGCGTTGGAGCAGGTTAACCAGTTCAAATACCTTGGAGTTGTATTAGACCAAAATGGAGGCATTAAGACTGAGCTAACTACACGAAAAGCAGCTGCTGGGAGACTCTTCCAGGCCATAAACCGAGGGTTTCTTAGCAAAAGAGAAATTGGCAAGAGGACGAAAATGGCTGTTTACCGCTCTACCTACGTACCAGTATTACCTATGGGTGTGAGTCATGGGCAATGACAACAGCTCACAGAAGCCAGCTGCAGACCTCGGAAATGAGATACCTGAGAAAGGTGGTCCAAGTGACAAGAAGGGACAAAGTCCGCAATCAGACAATACGTCAAGATCTTGATACCCAGCCCTTACTAACCCGAGTAGATCAGTCACAGTTACGATGGTTTGGACATGTATGCAGAATGGGAGAAAATCGGCCACCATGGCAAGCATGGGAGGCTAAGAACCAGGGAACCAGACTTCCGGGACGACTCAGGGTGCGCTGGGAAGACAACATCCGACAGTCCCTTACTGACAGAGGACTGGAATGGAACAAAGCCAGAAAGAAAACTGCTGACAGAGACGTCTGGCGATCTCTCTGGCAAACCTCTACACCCCAAGGTAGAAGAGGAGCGACTAAGTAAGTAAGTAAGTTGTTTCTGATTTGCAACAGAACAGATCTGAAACTGATGCTACTAGAAAGGAAAATCTGTTTCAGTCATTTCTGATATGGATGTTCCTCTATGCCATGATGCTAAACTAACATGCTCTCTCATATTCCCCCCCCAAAATCATTTCCCATACAATGTACTTATTGTCATAATGCACCCCAGTATTTTCCATAATATGCAGAAAGGATAAAACTGTCTGTTTCAAATTTGGGTAAATAGTTCTATTTGTGAGTTAATTTCTTTCAAGACATGTTTATTACACACTTTACCTGTCCATGATGTGACATTATCCGGCTATCCTCTGAATAACGGTCGAAAAGATGGCGGCCGCAAAATATCCTTTCAAGCCACACTCACGTGTCAATGGCGCACTTCCAGCGACTTAATTTGCGGTTCTCCTACGGTTTTCCGGCAACGACCGCCACCGCCACGAGTCCCCCAGGACGCTCATGCGGCGTGGAATGGGACTAAACTAGATGGCTAGGACCCACGAGCAGCAGCTTCCGCATCTCCTGAAGCTTTGCTCATGAGTTCTAGCCATCTAGTTTAGCCCCATTCCATGCCGCGTTAGCGGCGTGGGGGACTCGTGGCGGTGGCGGTCGTTGCCGGAAAACCGTAATAGAACCGCAAATTAAGTCCCGTGACTGTGGCTCGAAAGGATATTTTGCGGCCACCATCTTTACCGACCGTTATTCGGAGGATAGCCCATTATCCTTCTGTGGAAAAATATCTCTGCTGCTTCCACATAGTCTGCTGATGTGGAGCTTTGGAAGGTAACAAATTCTAGTGAATCAAGAGATAAGAATAAATAGTGATGCTAGAAGAGTCAATGAGAAAACTGATAATAATATATACCTAGAATGTGCTTGCATTGGAACCCAGAGAGCCAAAGAAAATAAATGGAAAGAAAAAAACCATGTGGAGAAGCTAATACAAAAAACCATGTGGAGAAACTAATACAAAAAAACCATGTGGAGAAACTAATAAGAGTCTGAAGCGAAAAAGATAGGGGGATCTGCACATGGTGACAAAGGAAGGAATGTCTTAGTGTGAGTCAGCTGAATGTGTATGCTCCAATGAAAGGCAGAAGTAGAATCATCTGTTAACTATCAATGTATCACTTTCATTCATCATGAATGGCTTTAAATAGCTTTTAAGAACCATGTCGTCGGGGGCCATAAATATTACCTACAGGTTGAATAGGATTTTTGGGACTTGTTCCCGAGTGATTCTCATCTAAATGGTAGCACTTTGTGTCACTGTTTGTCGCTTGTTGTGCATTCCTGGTGAGGTTGAACTTTAGCTTTTTTTTTTTTAAAGCAGACACACATCTTGTAATGAATATTCTTTATTTTCTTTTATAATGCGTTTATTTGGCTTATTCTACATTTAACTTCTTCAATATATTTCAACTAATGTTAACAATGAACATTACAGCTCTAATATACACATTAATAATAACAGTCAACAATAACATCACAAACATGCTAAGCTATCTCCATTCTATATCTATGTCCACCAGGATGGGCTGTCCTGGGAAAGTAAAGACAGCCGGCGTAATGCTGACCACATTACCCACAGAGTGCTGATGGTCTGAAAAAATATGGGACGCTCTGCCCATATGCCCGATGCGCCGAAAGGCGTGAAAAGGGAACTTTTATTTTACTTTATATCTATGTCCATGATTGGAGTGTAAAGAAAATTGTCAAATTAGTGTAAACTAATATGTACAAAATATTTTCTCACTTTGAAGAATTTATCAAAGACCACTTTGCTGACATTGAAGGTCCCAAGGGTATCAATCTCTATCACTGTTTTGAATGCATTAAAAGACATATTCTCCAATGGGCACAGAAAATTGCCAGCAGCTCCTGCAAGTTTATAACTTCATTAAGATTTATGTACAAATGTGACAAGTCAGGGCATCAACTAATTTATCAAATAAAACACAAAGGATAAAGTTGATTTTTTAATTCTGCCTTTCTCCACAATGAAGGTTGGCCAGAGCATATCACTGTTGTCTTTGCGAATATTACATGGTGAGGTTCCCAAATTCTACCACTGTGCGACTATGTACTCATAGTCATCAAGTGCCTTGCCAGCTGGCGTAAGCTTTCAAGCAGCTCCACAGATCTTAGTCCTTAGTATTCTGGATCAATTCCACTAATGATATCTTTGTTTCCAGGCAATCATTGTTAGTTATTCTGGCAGCTTAAGGTATTCGCAACATTCTTCTCAAGAACCACATCTCAGTTGCCTCGAAAATAAATCATCCACAGATGAAATCAAATCGCAGTACTTGAGGATCATGAAATTTTTAAACACATTCACTAAACATTAAGTCACAGAGCTCCACAATAATTTCTCTATACATCTTCAATGAAAGATTACTTATTTTTTTTTTCCTTTCTTTAGACTGGTGGTCTCACATCCGATCAAGCACCACGACGGATTGGAAAAAATTATAGCAGTAGGCATAGTACCAGGAAGGAGGGGCAGACCGACACGAAGATGGGCACAGGATATAAGTGACTCCTTGAGTATGAAAGTACATGAGGCGGAAGAACTGGCGAGAGACAGAGTTTCTTTCAGGCAGACTGTGATGAGAGCGACGTTCTGCAAAGGACCTGCTATATGATGAGTGTTGACTAGTTTGAATCATAACCTAATTTCTTCATTATAAATCTTATCACTACTTACTATTCCAGTCGCTCTCTCAGAAATCGCATCTCTGTAATGATTTTCTATTGATTATTTTAGTAAAGGCTCATGTTTGGCACTGGTAAAAAAAAGCTTGGCTTTCAAAAATAGTAATTCTATGAAATCTGCCATAGCTGGCATAAATAGTTTTCTGTGTGTCAGAAATAGTGTTTCAGGTGTCCTGGTATCTGATTTGCCTTGCACATCCATTGTTTTATCTGAAGTAGACATTATTCTTAAATTCACCTGTCTGTATTTGTTAAATATCCCAGTGACATTAAATTTGCTGCAATGTATAATGGTATCAAAAGATAAACAATTATTTTAAAAATTTGTAAGCGATAAAATTTTTTTTTATTAAAGAAATGAATAAATTACACAAATTTAAAAAAGGTGGCAGATAAAGAGACCCATTTAAAAGAGTTGTGAGGAATTCAGCCTTTCCAACTGCCTAAGAAAATGGGTCATAAACCTGTAGCAATTTCCCTACAAAATCTGGTTTAAAAAACAACAAACAATCACAAATTCTACACAGGTAGTAATAATTTGTTTTAACAAAAAATTTAAATATTTATCTATTATTTATTTATTAGTAATTAATAAACAAGAACAAAGTGAAGCATTAAATGGAATGCATTCCCTTGAGCCAAAACATATATATATATATATATCTGGTGACTCATGCTGTGACCTCTGTCCCTAAGGAACAATTCCAAGTAAAACTGGCCTTTAAAAAAGTCATTGGGGTCAGATGTTAACTCCTCTAAATGTTATATTTAGGTAACATAATCACATCCAGGCCTTGTAAACATTATGAAAGTGCATACAGGCCCAATGGAATTTATCTAGGATTTTTGTGAACAGTTCACTGCATAAATGGTCACATACTGGTGTTTACGGGGCTGTGTCACAACTGGAAGTGACTGGATTTAGCCTTCTTATGGCAAAAAGGTTCATATATACCACCAAGCAAGCAATTCAGAAGTTGCAGCTAATGTGTAGTTATTGCTGTTAAAGTACCATTGATCAAGATGTCGATTCTACCAAATTCCTTAAGGCAATTGTCAACAGCATCAATAACCTCTTGGGGCTGAAACAAAACAAAAATAACAAAAATAAAAAATGATTACAGGCAGTCACAAAATTAATGGCCCACCAATCAAAGAACTAGAAATGCAGAGTAACTATATCAATATGCCCCTTTGGTAATGGACTGTATAGGAAATATTAAATGATTAACATATAAAATCTTCCACTCATTTGTTATGTGGGACTCATGCAGGAAGCACAAAATAATCTACATAAGAATCTAGCAAGCAATCTTCTTCTTCTTCCTGTTCACCAGTTATAAACTCTGGCGGAAAGTTCTGGTTCTTTATCCACTTTTGGACTGCAGTCCTGTTCCAAAACCTGAGTGTTATGTGTGCATCCATTTCACAGATCTGACTCATTTGTATGCAGACTGCTGGTTCCTTGCTTTTGGGTTTATTCTTGTTTTCCCTATTATAGGGCTCCGGAATCCATAAGGGAAGAAAGCAATCTATCATGCATGTCATATGGGTGGAATTACTAGAAGTCCAAGTCCACATGAAAAAATCCCACCCCTTTTCAGGTATTGAACCTGGAACCTCTAGCACTCAAGGTGGACACCGTGCATCAAGACCACGCTGCTGCCTAACTAGAAATAAGTATAACTATAAGCTGTGCTTATACAAGTTCTGATATAAATACAACTGTTTTTCTTAAAAAATGTTAATTTTGTCGATGTATGGAAACTTACTAGACACCCTGTATGATGACACAATTATGCTTGGTCCTGGAGAAGATAGTTGCCGTAAAGCTGCAAGAATTTTTTGAATTGGGAAAGCTTCTCCCAAGAGGTCTGGGAAGCTACAGGCCAGGAAAGGACACAAGGGCAAATGCGGCCACTTTTGCTTTTGACGTCTATGAAGGGTTCCAGAACAGACAGAAAACTATGGCGGTAGCAGTGGATCTCAAGGACGCTTATAAAAGAGTAAGATAAAACATCTTGAAGACTGCACTGAGGGAGAAGGAGGTCAGTCTATGGCTGGTCAACTGGATGGCAGCTGTCCTGTATTCACATCAGGTTGCTTTCCGACTGGGCTTATGGACCTCAGAACCATGTAGTTTGGCCCCAGGACTGCCACAGGGATCCTTCATCTCGCCTGTGCTTTTTAATTTGCATACAAGCAAGATTAAAAGCCTAGAAGCACCAGGAGTTGGAAGGATATTGACTTTTGCAGATGATATACTTGCATATAGGCAGGGGAAAGAGAGAGAACAAACAGCTGGGAGCTACAAGCGACAGAAAACAAAGTTACTGAGTGGTGTAGAGAAATGAGGGCTGTCGTCCACCCGGAAAAGGAGTCTGTTTTGTGGTGTTCTCTGGACAACAGAACAGATAAAGCTAATGTCCCAAGTCTCGCCATAGATGGTAGAAATATCAACAGAGAGAGCCAACTAAAGTATCTGGGGATTACATTTGACAGGAGCCTGTCCTTTAAGGACCATGTGGAGAGTGTTGTGACAAGATGCCAAAAAAGGACTTGGTGCACTTAAGACTATGGCTGCAACTGACATAGAGCAGAGAATGCTTTTCACACTATATCAGAACCTGATCCTGTCAGTGGTTGATTATGGCCTAGGACTGCTTGTCGTCTCAAAGAGTCAGATGGACAAACTAGAGCGCATACAGAAAAGAGCTATGCGGGTCATTCTTAGTTGCACCAGAGACACCCCAGTGGTGTTTATGCGATGCATCCTTGGTTTGCCGGCTGTTGCAGGTAGGCACAAGGTGCTGCAGTCAAAGTCATATCTCAGGGTAGCTGCAGACACACACCACCCTTTGCACAAAGCTCTGGGAGCAGTTAAGGGTGAGCGGCTGATAAGAGGGAAGTCATGGATGGCTCAGGCAGAAGACACAATCAGACAGGTTTGCATCCTTGAGAACATTAGGCGAAGAGAGGAAGTGATCAAAGTGCCATCTGAACAGTCAGACCTGTGTAGGGTCATAATCACACTGAGCCGGCAATGCAGAGACTGGCCAGCAGGTGCCACAGAGGTGGAAATTCAGCAATTAATTCAAGATAATGCTCACTCAGAAGATTTGATTATTTACACAGATGGTTCAGTGTCAAGAGGCAAAAGAAGTGCTTGGGGTTTCTTAGCAAAAGTTAAAGGTCGACGTTTGGAGCAGGAGAGCCTAGCATATGATACCCCAACATCCAGCTTAAGAATTTAGGTCACTGCAGTTTTCCGCTGGTTAGAGAACACGACACACACATACACATCGTGATTGTAACTGACTCAGAAAGCATGCTGAGGAAGGTAAGGACAGGCATGCTTCGTGCAGTGACATGCATCGCTGTGGAGGACACGGGTGAGGATTATTGTCTGGATTTTTTCCACTGGGGCACGCCCGTGTGTTGGGAAATGAACAGACGGACAGACCGGCTGGCTCTGCACAACTTGGGGGAATACTGATGCGAAATAAGGCAGACATGGTCAGTGCCTTGTGGGAGAGCATGTACAGTTCAGAGGAGTTCATGGATCACCAGTCTGGTGAGATTGATGCTGGGGTGAGGGGGAGTGATGAGAGGTTCTGGCAGATGCTCGAGGCTCAGAGGAAAGGCAAGACGGGCGTTTAATTAGAGTGCTACTGGCACCATTAGTATCGAAACTCTTCACTGGCTGCTAAAGATGGGGACGGAGCGCTTATGGGAATGCCCCGAGTGCTGTGATGTCGGTTCTTGAATCAAATCAAATTATGCTTACTTTTCGGACATCCATTTGTATAGGCAAACATCTATGACCTGTTGCTTCACTTAAAGTCTTAGACGACAGCTTCAGCCGCTCCAATTTCCTACCAGAGATGGCAGTGTCACATCCATGTCTGAAATATTTTGTTCATTTATTAAAACTGTAGATGAAGGAAGAACAAAAACCACACACAGAATAGAATTAGAGATGGGGTGAAAAAAACAGGAAGACACAGGGTGAGATGCACGTAATGGCAAAGAATAGGAGGATTTTGTGCAAAATGAGGATCTATGGACCATACAAATTTTTTTTTTTTGTAAAGGATAAGAAGAAGAATGAATCAATCAATAATTGACAGCACTTCACTCTGGACATTTCAACACATGCTCCGTCCCCTTCTTCAGTAGCCAATGAAGAGTCGGCATGCTAATAGTAACAGTTACAAACTGATTATAAGTCTGACTTTGTTTCCCCCCTTAGTGTTGAATATCTTCCATAACCTCTACTCACCCCCTTGTTGAATTAATATTTCAATGTATAGATTCTCTGTTGGTTCAACTGCACTGTCCATTTGAGAGAAGAAAACAAAAAGAATGTAAGTTTCCTTAATGTAAGAATCCTATAGTTTCCTTAATGTAAGAACCCTATAGTTTCCTTAACGTAAGAATCCTATAGTTTAATTAATGTAAGAATCCTATAGTTTCCTTAATGTAAGAATCCTATAGTTTCCTTAATGTAAGAATCCTATAGTTTCCTTAATGTAAGAATCCCATAGTTTCCTTAATGTAAGAATCCTATAGTTTCCTTAATGTAAGAATCCTATAGCCTCCTTCTATCTAAGAGATAGAATCAAAGAGATCTATTTATCGTTTAAAGAGTGGGGTGTGTATGGGAAATGATTAAGCAATGTTCCAGAGATTTGTGGATGTCATCACTGGAGTCTTCTGCTTTATGTGACTAACTGGTCTGCAGAGAAAGAAAAGTCGGTTCTTAATTTATAACGTACCCCAAACACGAAATCCCTGTGGGAAATCCACAGCTGACCTGACAGTCCATTATTTAAAGGGGTGGAAGTGTGCTGTTGTGTGTTTTTTTTTTTGAGTGTTCATCTAGTGTCTTCTAAACCTAACCCTAACCTTAAACTTGGGTGTAGATAAATCGCGAAAAACCACAACCTGAACACTCTAGAATGTATTGGGAATGTCTCCCGTGACGTTGTCGTGACGTCAGGGGTAAGTTATAAATTAAGTACCGAAAAGTCATATGCGATAAATATTGCAAGTGGATTTAACCATTTCATCCTAGGAACACTAAAAACAAATAGGTCATAAACCCATAAAAATTCCAGAAAAAAAAGTCTTTTTAAAAATATTTTTTTTACCCAGGTCACTAATAGGTTTTTATATTTTATTTATTTAGTCGCATTTTTGTTTGAAACATATAAAGATATATGAAAAGAGTTATCATTCAACACAAACAAAGTAAAAAAAAAGGTAAAGTCGGGAGATGTGAACCAGTGTCATTACACACGGTTATAAACCATAAGTGCCTTGCCACCAGTACGAACAGCTGATAAGAATTGTCTGCCTGTGTCACCGTCCACACTTAACTCTGTAGCTACAGCGACGTTCCTCCATTTACCCCAGAGTTTCAACTCTGGTACCTATTTTCTAGAGGCTGGGTGAACCCTGGGAACCTCCAGGTTTTGAACACAGACCGTGGGCTGCAGCAAGTCGCAGCTGGATTTGAAAGCGAGCCTCTTATCGACTGTGCTAACGCTGCCTTGTCACAAACAGGGTGAAGCATTAAATGGAATATGAAACTCTGACATCAACATTTAGCTCAAAAGAAACCACCCTTAAATGCTATTGTTAGTTAATGTATTCACATTCTCACCTCCTAAATGTTTGTGCAGGTTTAAAAACAGCCTATAGTATTAACTGCATCTCGTAAACAGATCACTACAGACAAGTCAGAAAGATGACATTTATGAGGAATTACAGCCAACAAGAAGTGTCAGTTTTTTGGTTTCTCAGAACAAAAAGGTTAAATAGTCACAAACATTTACTGTTTCAACAAAAAATTATAAATTGTATGACACCATTTTCAGCTAATATAATTTGGGATTCAGGTACCTCCTGCACAGTAAAAAAAATTATTATTTAAATTATTCTTAAAATCTGTGTGGGGAAAAAATTTTACCTCATGAAAATTTCAGCTATTGTGAAGCAAATGCCAGAACCTCCTCCTGTAATGAATGCAACTTTTCCTCTGTTGAGAAAAAGTAAAAATTAATTCAGTAATGCAAGTAAATGATAAGGATGCCTCAGTTAAGAAGGAACTTTACATGCAACTTTAAAATATTATAAATAACGAAAGAAAGGGCAATTTAAAAATGTTGATGGGTGACCTAAATGCTAAGGGCGGCGTCCGTGGCTAAGGCGTTGCGAGTCCGACTCGTAAGCCAGCATACCGCGATCGAAACCCACTGCAGCGTGGATTTTTGTCGTGGTATGGGACGTCGCAGGTCGACCCAGCCTAAAATGGGTACCAGGATGGGCTGTCCTGGGAAAGTAAAGACAGCCAGCGTAATGCTGACCACATTACCCACAGAGTGCTGATGGTCTGTAAAAATATGGGACGCTCTGCCCATATGCCCGATGCGCCGAAAGGCGTGAAAAAGGGATCTTTACTTTTTTTTTTACTAAATGCTAAGATAGGATTAGATAACACAGGTTAGGAAGAGATTATGGAAAAACATGGAGTAGGAGTAATGATTGAAAATGGAGATTATACACCAATTTTTGTGTGTGCAGAAAACCAGGATGTTATTATTTGTGGGAAGATTTACCCACCTTTTAGGGCTTTCAGAGGTACCTTTGTATTTACAGACCATTTTCTGTTGGTAAGTAAAATTAAGCTAAAACTTAAAAGATCTATAACATCTTAAAATCATAGAAACCAGTATAATATAGGTTATCTCAGGGATAAAGAAGTTGAGGAACAGTTTTCAGTTTTCAATTTTTATGTTAAAAAAAAAAAAAAAAAAGCAAAGGACCCTTTTTATTGTTCAAACAGGGTATGACACTTTAATAATATTTTATAGACCAATCTGTATTTGGTGGACCACGTGGTCTAATTCACGCTGGTCACCTTTAGTTCCCAGGACTTTACCTGGTACCCATTTAGGACTGGCTCAACCTAAGATCCAAGGTCAATGTTAAAAAAAAAAATCAGACTCGATGTAGATTCAAATCAAAATCCTTCGGGTTGACAGACAATCCTCTGGCCACTATTCTACTGTGGCTCCCTTTAAAAAAAACTAATTGTTGTATTTACCCTTATATATATTTATATGGATTTTAGACATAGTAATAAATTGCTGGACCTTGCACTGCAGCTCTCTGGGGCTGTTTATGTACAGCAAGTTTTCCACCATGATAGGTAATTTACAAAGATTCATGTAGTAGTTAATAGTTCCTCTTGGTTTTCATATTTCATACACTCCAGAAATCTGGTAATCTGGTAATCTTAGTTTCAGCTTCATAGCAAACGGGTCGCCCCATAGTTGCTCCGCTCCTGTGCCAACCAAAAACACATAAAATGTTTATCACAGTTCAAATGAAGTCTGCAGCTCACAGTGTTACGCCATGCACTCAACTCAGAAGCTGGGCAACGAAACTATATCCTTCCAGTCTACAAATGGAGCAAAAATGCAACGGCCACTGTCTGGCAAAAGCAACAAAAAAATGTGCCACTGTTACAAAAAGTGGCCATGCCTAGCGTCCATTTTGACCTGAAGCATTATTTGAGGGTTAATAAAAGGTCACCCCAGCAGTACCCTGACTATTAGCTGGGAAAGGGGTTTAGGATATTACATCCACCAGCAAGTGTCGCCCCTATAACGATCTGACTGCCTTCGTTAACGACTGTTCACCCAACAGCCATACAGCTCTTTGGCACGAAGGAGACACACAGTGCTCTATAGTACTGAATGTATGGCATATATTACTGTTCTCTTCCTTATAGTAAAGCAAGACCAATTTATGATTGCATGATATTTTAAGCTAATCTGTTATCTAACTCTCTTTTAGGAGCATTTAACAACTTATATTAATGTCTACCCCATTCAAGGACCATTCCTCTAATATACATTCTCCCATGAATCCATCTCAAAACCTGTACCATTTGTGTCCCACTTGAACACCTCTTTATAACGAAGTAGAGGCCAACACAGTATCTTCTGACTGAATCTAGTAGTCTACACATTAGTAATTCCCCTAGAGGATGTCCATACAAATCCTCTGTCTTCCCTAACCATCTGTTAATTCAAAGACTGACCAGCCCACCTGCTCTTTCCAGTAATCATTTCTGTCATATTGTTTGACCACCTCACGACCAGCTCCAGATATATTTTGGCTATCGCGGACTTCCTGCAACTTAAATTGCGCACTTTCAGCGACTTCCGCCACCGCCGAGCGCGGCGTGGAACGGGAGCTCAACTAGATGGCTGGGACTCACTAGCATCAGCTACCGCATCTCCTGCAGCTTCCTTCATTTTATTTGCTTGCGAGTCCCAGCCATCTAGTTTAGCCCCAATCCCCGCCACACGTAGCGGCGGGGGAGATACGCTTGGCGGTGGCGGTATAGTCCCCAGAAGTCCTCAAATGATATGTGACTGAGGCCCTGTTAGGGTATATTTTCGGCCTAGATCATTTGAGACCGTTATTCTGAGGACAGCCACTAAAAGCTACAAGTGAAACCGAAAGAGGAAAAAAAATTGTCTACTGTTACTAACTAGGCCTACTAAAACATTCAGGGACTTGAGAGAGAGGGGGGAAAAGGAGCTGGTATTTACTACAAAGTGTCTATTAGTTACAGTAGCATCATCATCAAGTGCCTTGCCAGCTGGCGTAGGCGTTCATGCATCTCCACAGATATCAGTCTTTGGTGTTATGGATCAATTCCACTGATCATATTCCTCCATGCCACTGTTTTAAGCCATCCATTATCATTTCTCTGGGTTTCATGTGTGGTTTCCGGGGCCCTTTTATAGGGAAAACAAGAATAGACCCACTGCCTACCCAAAAGCATGTCGTAAAAGTTTATTAATTGGGAGCTTTTTTCGAAGTCGGAGTGCATTTGCCTGAGAGGCAAGGAACCAGCAGTCTGCATACAAATGAGTCAGATCTGTAAAACGGATACACACACAACACTCAGGTTCTGGAACAGGACTGCAGTCCAGAAGGGGATGAACAGCCAGAACTTTCCGCCAGAGTTTACAGCTGGTAAACGCAAAGAAGAAAAAGAAGAAGAAGAAGATTTCTCTTGGTCTGTCTCTGCTCTTCTATTAGTAATCCTTCCAGTCGTCACGATACCGTTACAGTAGCGCTGGAAAAGAAAAAAGAAAAAGGATGCCTTTTAAAAAAAAAAAAGGTCCCGGTACTAGTATTACTACTACGTACCATTCTGCTACCGTCAGGGAAAAAGCCCTAACTATATTTATTTTTCTACAAAGCTTAGCTTACTTTAACAGATCACTTCTGAAAGAGGACTTGTACTCTTCTAGACATTTCTCAACTGGAATGTTTTCTGGTGCTGCCATGTTACGATATATTTGTTTCTAGAAATGTCAGTTCCTTGTTTCTTCAGCGTTGATTCCTGTCACACTGAATTACCCTTTACCTTTAACACTGTGAACTTTGAACCGCTGTTTTCATGCCATTTTTCATTGAAGCCAAAATGAAACATAAAAATAATGACAATAATAATAAAAGCAATAACAAATCTTTTAAATATGTCCATAGATTGTTGACACCAGTGTTAATGTTTTTTACTTTTACGAAATAGGAGGTATAATTGTTTTGGTTTAAATAATGCGTTCCAAACTGTTCACCCCCCCCCCCCCCCCTTTTTTTTCTTCTAATTGATTTTTTTTAAAGCGGGTGTATGTTGAAAACACTTAGAATCTATCGTGTTACACTAAAATATGTAAAGTTTGACATTTATTTTCGATACTCTTGTGATTATAACCTAATGAACTCTAATAATGAATAAAATATTAAATAGCCCAGGGCCGCGGATTATTTTTTCCTGACGGTACGCAATACCGGTACCCTGTTAAAGTATTGGATTAGCTATTGGAAATAAAATTACCTTACAGTGAATAACGCTAATTAAAATTTTCTTCCTCTTCTTCTTCTTCTTCTTCTTCTTCTTCTTCGTGTTCACCAGTTATAAACTCTGGCGGAAAGTTCTGGTTCTTTATCCACTTTTGGACTGCAGTCCTGTTCCAGAACCTGAGTGTTGCGTGTGCATCAGTTTTACAGATCTGATTCATTTGTATGCAGACTGCTGATTCATTGACTCTCAGGCTCTTTAACTTCGAAGAACGCTCCCAATTTGTCGACTCTTACAGGCAGAGGGTATGTGCTTGTTTTTCCTATAAAAGGGCCCCGGAGCCCACACGGGGACAAAAATGTCCAAATTTTTATCAGAGAAAAATAAGTGATAAGGGAGAAATATTGTAGATGGGTTTTTAACTCAAAGAACACTGAGACAAAAAGATCATGACTACATTAGAATTCTAGAGAAAAAAAAATATTTAAAACAACAACAAAAATTACACACGAAGACCGACAAAATAAGCAGAAAGTAACAGATATTATACAAACTGTAGACCTGAGAACTATGGATGTACTCACATCTTCCTTTTCTTCGCGTTCACCGGCTGTTAACTCCGGCGGAAAGTTCTGATTGTTCGTCCACCTCTGGACTTTGGACTTTTTACAGAACCTGAGTGTTGCGTGCTCATCTGTTTTACAGATCTGACTTTGTTTGCAAACCTTTGTTTCCTTGCCTTCCAGGCCGACGCACTCTGACTTCGATGGAAACCACGAGTTAGTCGACTTTTACGACATGCTTGTTCAGAAGGCAGTGTGTCTATTCTTGTTTCCCCCCCCCCCCCACAATGGGGCCCCGGAACCTAAACGGGAATGCCCTCGATGAATTTCCCACGGGGATTCCAGGATCACATGGGGGGGGGGGTGTGACGCTAGAAATGACCCACTGACCCATAAAAAGCATGTAGTTAAGGGTGACTATTTGTGTATTTGCTTTAATCAGCTGTGTTTAGCCGAATGTGGCAGATATCGCAGCCTAGCTATAAACCACATACAACAAAACGTGTCATTTTAAATTTCTTTCAGCAACTCTCTTTTTATTCCCAATCTCTTTGAACCCTCTGTATTTGATTGTTTATTGCTTTTGTTTCTATGAAATACGACCTATTCTTTGGTATATCCACCTCACTAGATATTTAGTTTGATTTACCAGTTGCTTGTTCACTGTCAACGTTTCTGTATATCGTAACTGTAACAGACTCTGAGAGTATGCTGATAAAGTGCTTCGAGCAGAGTGGCAAGCTTCACTGGAAAGGTCACGGGTAGTGAGCATACTTTAGATCTTTTCTCCAGGCCACACCGGCGTGGTAGGTAATGAACAGGCAGATAGACTGGCTGGATCTACACCACTGGGTGGTTAATTGATACATGACAAGGCAGATGTGGTCAAGGCCCTTTGGGAACAAGCAACTGAATCAGTAGAGAAAGAAGATTATTATGGCCTAGAGAAAAAATGAGGCACCTGGGTGTAACCGGAGGATCTGGCCGGCTCACTACACTCAAAGGAAAGGCAAGACGGACATATAAGCAGATTGTGACCGGTACCATCAGTACTAGAACTCTGCGCTGGCTGCTGAAGATGAGGACGGAGCATGAATGGGAATGCCCCGAGTGCTGTGATGTCAATTCTTGACTCAACTCAACTTTCCAAGTTTCTGTAATATACAGTAGGCACGAGTCTACATATATTTGACAATTCTTTTAGTTTAATATAGTTTTTTTTTAATGCAGTATAAGTTGTGTGTGTGTGTGTGTGTGTGTGTGTGTGTGCATCATTTGTTTCGAACTACAATAATATACACTTTGTGGCGATTACCGACACCTTTTCTGGACTCATTGTGGTGAGTACCGACAAACAATTCCCTGGTTTAATGTATTATTTATTTCCCCAACTGTCAATAAATTCTTGCATCGTGCGAAGGACACACAGGGAAATCGGAATCCAGTGTGGTGTTCATATACATCAGTGGGGACTAACATTTTTAGGTTTAATGGCTAGTATTCATTTCAGACATCATTGACGAACTTCAGAATTCACACATTCGACAGTGGGTTTGGCACTTTCAACACATCCGATGTCAGCGAACTCCTAATCAGTTGCCTTTTAATGGGTACCCCAACATCAAACAACACAATACAGGAGGAACTACAGACAGGGGCACACACACTCGAATGTCCAGAAGCAGTATGTCTTCTGTAACTATACGCTTGAAAAGGGGAGCTATCTTGGTACCCCCACAGGCGACAAGGGATCTTTGTGATGCTGACAGAGGAGGTTATAGAGAAACACTCACCTAAAACAATACGGGACGCTCGTAAAACAAAAAGGACCGTCCCGCCCCTGAAACCCTTGGTTCTTCTGCTAGCCATCGATCGTAGGAACAGTGAGGAGCACGCTCCTAAAATACGGTGATTTTACTGTGGCTATTACTACTGGCGGGTAGAGAGGGTGTGGAGGTGGTATAGTACTGTGTGGGAGGTGCGTATAGGACTGTATCAAGAAGAGGTGTGGGGAAGGGGGTATAGTACTGTCTGAGAGGTGAGTATAGACTGTCTCAAGAAGAGGTGTGGGGGAGGGTATAGTATTGTCTGAGAGGTGGGTATAGGACTGTATCAAGAAGATGTGTGGGGAAGGGGGTATAGTACTGTCTGAGAGGTGAGTATAGGACTGTCTCAAGAAGAGGTGGGGGGGGGGGGGGGGGTATAGTATTTTCTGAGAGGTGGGTATAGGACTGACTCAAGAAGAGGTGTGGAGAAGGGTATAGGGCTGTCTCAAAAATAAGTGGGCGTGGGAGGGGGTATAGGGCTGTCTCAAGAAAGGGGCTGGAGGGGGGAGGGGATATATATGACTCTGAACTCTTTGAGAGGGGGTATAATGTCTCAGTCTGCGGGGGTGAGGTGTATAGGACTGTCTTTGAAGGGATAAAAGCGGGGGGGGGGGGGCTTATGGGTGTCGTAAGGGGGGGGGGGGTAATTGTACTCTGTTTCTGAAAAGGCGGGGTATAGTATATAAAATGACTTACATACGCGCCATAGATGCCACACACACACATACACACATGCTTTCCCTCTCTTCTCTCTCTCTCTCGCTCTCTCTCTCTCTCTCTCTCTCTCTCTCTCTCTCTCTCTCTCACACACACACACTTTGATATCTTAGATCTGTGCCTCACACACACCTTGTCCTGACGTTTAATGCCTTCACCTACTGTTCTGTCATATGTCGCCACACACAAAGACTGGAGGAAATTGTTGGTTTTGCATAAAGGATGCATCTTGGCTGTCCCTGGGTATATAGGGTATATCGGCCTCGGTGAGAGGGACGTAGCACTGTCACTTTTAGACAGTCTTGAACTGTCTTTGAGAGAAATGTATTGGACTTCTATTGTAGAGGGGTGTTGGAATCTGAGATAACGATATTCGACCGAGACAGTGATACTGGTATCTGTTTCTGAAAGAGGGATATTGGACACTGTCTCTGAGAGTGATACATGAGGATGTCTTTGGGAGATGGGTATTAGACTGGGCAAGAAAAAACGGAAACAAAGCGTGGATAGCACCAGAAGCCATTAAATTGATTGAATCTTCCCATAGCTTTCTGCCTCGCGTACTGTCAATCGTTGCCAGTATTCACGTTCTTCCCTGACACGGAAAGCTGCGAGGTTTTCAGGCAGGTTTCCGCATCAAGTGCTAGAGGTTTCGGGTTCTATCCCCATACGGCTGGGATTTTTTCACGTGGACTTGGACTTCTAGTAATTCCCCCCTAGTCTCTGTGTAGTGTGCATTGTTGCGCACCTAAAAAAATCCCTTGGTAGCTGGGTTAGAGTTTTGAGTTAAAAGTCTTCTCAAAGTATTTCAGGATCCTCGCCGTTGCTACAGAGCCTGTGCACTGTTATGAGCTTCTTTGGACTCAGACATGAGTATGAAGAAGAACGGAGCCCTTATGGGTCACTACCCGTGTGCCATGATATTGATCTGTTCTTCAAACCTCAAACCTTCCCTGACACGATGCCTGGGGAGTTACCATGGGATCTGGCCGATGCTAAACATTCAAGGCAAAGACAAAACGTAACGAACGAACGAACGAAAACAAACGAACTTTACTTTCAAAGGGTCACAAATTGGGCACGCAAGCTCTTCTTACATTCGGCCCTTCCAATCACCCGTCTTTCACACTGCAGCTGTATTTTATCAATAAGCATGTTATATTCATATGATAATATGCATATTTTGAACATCAAAAAAGAGAGAAAAAAAAGCACAAAAGCGTGGGTGGTAAAATGCATGCACACACAGACACACCCACCCACTCACTTAAACACACACACATACCTTCACACACATTTTAACACACCCCATTCACCCACATACATACCTACATATCCACACAGACACGCACATTCCACACACATACAAACATACAGATATACACACACAGACACACCCATAGAAACAAATGCAGACATACACACACAAACAGACATACGTGCACATACCCAATCAGACACGCAGATACACAGACACACACACTCGACACACACACACACACACACAAACCGGCATACACATACACGCAGACAAACACAGACACATATGTATAAACACACGCAGACACAACACACTCAGATACACATGGAGACACACAAACACACACACACAATCGCAGACACACACACACGTGCTGATGCTCACTCAGACACGTACACACAACCACATACACACACACACGCAGAAGCATATGCAGGCATTCATACACACAGGCGCACGCACAGATACACGCAGACACACACCTACAGACACACAAACGCAAACACATACGCAGACATACATATACACAGGCACACACACAGACACACATAAATACACACATGTAGACACATCCAGAGACACTACACACAGAGATACACACAGACAAACACACACCGATATATACACACAGACATATACACACAGAGACTCACACAGAGACTCACGCAGAGACATACACAGATATATACAAACAGAGACGTGCATACACACAGACATTCACGCAGACACAAATACACACACGGGCACATACAAAGACACAAACACAACAAAGACACACACATACAAACACACACTCAGGCAAACACACAGCTACATTCACTTAGAACACACATACAAGCAAACACGCACAGACACATTTAGACACAGATACACATACAGACTCATACACACAGTCCTACACGTGCAAACACACACATACACACAACCAAACACACACACACAGATACACACCCACAGACACACAATACAAATATCCTTACACACAGAGACGCACGAAACACAGGCATTCACGCCAACACACATATACACACAGGCACATATCAACACACACCCACACACACAAACACAACAAAGACACACACACATCCACATACACATAGAACACACAGACACGCGAACACATTCACAGGCACTTGCAGACACACACACACACACATAGATCTACAATTAGACAGGTACTGGTACCATCGGAACTGTAATACTTCGCATGCTGATAAAGATGGGTACGGAAGCGCTTATAGGAGTTTCCCGAGTGCTGTGATGTCGATTCTTACTTTAACATTTAACATGCCAGACTGTCCAGCATTTTCTCTCTTGGTCTTCCTCTGCCGTCTGTGCACACAATATTAGTTATTCTGTAAAATGCTTTTGCTTGAGCTATTTTTACAGTAAGCTTCTTCTATACGTCGTCCACCTGCTGCTGTCGGGGTACCCATGTACTTAAATATACCGATCTGCTTCAGACTTGCAACGTTTACTTTGCAGTTAAAGGATATTTTTCCTGAGACAATTAAAAACTTGCTATCTCCGTCACTGCCGGTCCCATACCCGGGTTAAAAAGGAGAAAGGTTGAGTGTGGCCAAGCTACCCAATGTGTAAAAACAATATGCTTTAAATATTTGTAGCATATGAACCCACTCGGAAATGCTGGTGTGCACAGTGCACGTATGGCGGTTACTGGTGAATCTGAATTAACAGCACATAACAGTACATCAGGAAATAATGAGCCGAAACCCCTATACGAAATATAAGTGTTATCATGATGATGATGATGAATTCAGGTTTTTTTAAACCTATACTTAACCACCTGAGACATAGTTAAAAATATTATCATGTAGACTGTAAGAACAGCACCATGCAGCAAACTCGTTGAGAAACATAAGATCAAATATTTTGGTCATTTAGTAAGAAGGTAGCCAGAACAACTACCAACGCAGGTGCTACACATGAAAAGTTTTGGAGTGAAATCAAGAGGCCGCCCTAAGAGAAGATGGACTGGTGACATTAAAGAGCTTCTACATTGACACGGAATGACAATAGCCATTGCTGCTCATCAGACAATGGATCTCAAACTGTTCCTCCCCAAAACGCCTAACAGCAGAAGTGGAAACTGATGATGATGATTTCACCGCATGATCTATACCCAGGTTCCCTCACCACGAAGTACAGGACTCAGTGTTTCTGCGATCACCTGACTTCACACCTCATTTGGAGCTGACGCTGTTGTGGCTCCAAACACCATCGATTTCACCAACGTCTGGGCCAAGTTCAACCGTCTCGGTGAAAACGCTGCAGTCTTCTCCAACGTCATCACCCTGCTGGGCTTTACATTATTTTACTCATCGTCTTGCGGCACATGGACAAGAAAGATTTGATTAAAGTAAGACAATTATTGGGTAAACCTTTCCGGCCTGGGAGGCCCTGTTGGTAGCTACACTACAGCCAGCATAGCTCTCAGGGTCGTTGAGAAACACAAAGCTCCCCCACCGTGGCAAGGTGGAGACACCTTCAGGGACTGGCAGACTATCTGCATGAAAGTGAGTGCGAGCAAACGCTCATTAGACTTTCCTACTAAGGGACGTAACCTAAACAGGAATAAGCATTTTTGCTCTCTAAAAGCAGCAAATTTGATTTTTAAATTGAAATTTTAATTTTCAATGTATTTAATTCTTTGACGTTATGCACATTAGTTTCATATTGAATCTTCAAGTATGACATAATGTATCGATGTTGAAAGATATCTGCCCGCAGTGTATTGAACAAGCATCAAGTATTTTACACCAAGAGTCCTATAGTTGAAAAGCTGTAACAGTGAAAATTCTAATTAATCTAACCTTGGAAAGCATCACCCCCTAATGCTCAAGTTTGTCTAGATGGGGAAGTAGCTCCCTAGAGCGAAACCCCTTATGTTGTAAATAAATTAAAGAGTGCGGATGTGCAAGAAGATCGCACGCACTACATGCTAAAGTACTGGAGAATATCTCGTGTGTCGACTTCGTAATGTTGATAAAGTCTGGCCAAGATCGTTACATTTAATTTGATTTCAATGAGACCTTATCGCCCAGCCCGAACAGCAATAATCTTAATCACAATCATATACAGTAAAATTATAAATACCTTAAATCAATAAATGGCCTGTTGTCAGTTTGTGTCATGTGACCGTTCGCATGACCAGACTGTGCAAAATGGAGGCCACGAGTACATGGTCTTTACAAACATGGCCATTTTGTGAGTAAATAAAATACAAAAACTTAGTATAGTTGATAATTTTGTGCCCGTTATACGTGTATCAGAATATAATTAGGGATCTTAGCAGTTGGCAGGATTTGTTGGCATAATTTATAATCATATTATTACATTTTTACATTCACACACGCATCTCACACTACTAGTACAGTGTACTGTACAACACACACCCAAAATGAAACTGGTCAACAACTACTAACTAGTACAAGTTGTACTACTACAACAGTATTTACTAATCTAATCGCAGAACAGTTTCCGTTGAACTTATTCAGTGCTTGAATTTTGCTAAAGTCAATGCTTCCTGCTGGATACTGACTGATAGTATCATCCTTTAGTAGATCCTTTGCCTTTGCAGAAATTCGCTTTCATCACGGTCTGTCTGCTTGAAGATTGAAAGAAACTCGGTCTCTCGACAGCTCTCCAGCCTCCTGTGCTTTTGTATTCAAGGAGTCTCTTTATACCATGTCCCCATCTTCGTGTTGGTCAGCCCCTGCCTTTCCTTCCTGGTACCATGCCTTCTGTTATTAATTTTTCCTAATCCGTCATGGCGCTTGATATAAGTTATATTATAACGAAAGTAATTTAGTTTAGCTTCTGAGACAAGATGCTATTCATTGCTAGTCTTCCTTGATGTTGAGATCTTTCAAAATAGTATTTCTTCTCTTTTTGGCTCTTCTTTGAATAATGGTCCCAAATGATCTACGCAGAAAGTTAACCCTAACATAGCCTCATTACGTCCTGCCCTACAAACATTTAAAACTGTAGCTCGGGAAATATAAGGAACGAAAAGTATGAGGAAAATGGGAGGAATTCTACTACTTACCGATATTGAAATCCTTTATACGTGAAAATTGTGACACAGAAGTTGCAAATAGTGCCCGAATATCTGTTTTTTCGGGCTGTTCGCTATTTCAACATGGCGCGGCTTGTCCGTGATTCTAGTTCAGGGCGAGACATAATCAATAATGCACGTTTTAATGTACGCGCATGTTGCCTCGGAACAACTTCAAACCAGCAGTCGCCTCGGGACAACTTCAAACCAGCAGTCACCACTATGGTGCTCCACTATCCCGACCACCTTTTGACCGTGGCGAATGCGACAATGCTGGCAGTTGTGATGGAAGAAGTAGCTCATAACTGTTTTCCTGCGACTATAATGCCACCTCCTAGAGTATCCCCCGCGCCGCACATAGCGGGGCGGAAGGGGCTAAACTAGATGGCTAGGACTCACAAGCAAATACAATGGAGGAAGCTGCAGGAGAAGCGGTAGCTGCTGCTCGTGAGTCCCAGCTATCTAGTTTAGCCCCTTCCGTGCCGCGCGTAGCGGCGCGGGGGATACTCTCAGAGGTGGCACTATAGTCGGCAAAAGTGGTCCGCAACTTACATATAACTGTGGCCCTGCCGTAGGATAGCGCTGTCAGGAGTATTCGTGTGTGTCTCTAATTTTTCGTCCGTAGTTAATCCTAGTTTTGCCGCCTTGTAATCGCCGTAAAAAAGTCTGTTGCGTTTCGCAAAAATGTTGTGGGCAATTATCCTTGTTTTGACGAGGTTGAATCGCGCAAAAGACATGCAAATTTTAGATATAAGTGAGGCTCTGTTTGGGTTTACTTTCTGCGTAGATCATTTGGGACCGTTATTCATAGGAGAGCCCTCTTTTTTGTACATGGTATTCTGAGAATCTTTCTATAGCATTTCAGCTCAAAAGCCCCTATATTTTTTTTTCTTAAGGACTAGGAGATAGGCCACGACTCACATCTATGTTTGTTGCTGCAGGAAAGATGCATGCTCTTAAAATTTTAACTTTGATTTCCTTGCTGGTGCTTAACCATAGACTTTTAATCCATAGTTATGAACACTACAACAATGTTACAGAGAACAGCATGTTTTTAAAACATACATTTGCCCCTTTTAAACTTTTGACATAGATGATTGTAGTGAAATTATCCAACTGAAGTCTTGATTTGTAAGAAATCCTGAATAACTGATCCTTTATATCGCTGGCATTCATCCAGACTTTATAGTTCTGCTCATCTTTTTGAATAAATCATGCATAATAACTGAATAGTGGGTAATGGAGTAGGGGATATGTCGAACTGTCTCCAACATTCACAGAAGGACAATAAAAGGAAAATGCAAAAATGTTAAAGATAGCCTAAAGAACTACTAAGACTCATTATCATCATGTGCCCTGCCAACTTGCGTAGGCGCTCATGCATCTCCACAGATTATGATCCCTGGTTGCCTGGAACAGCTCTCTTGATGGTATTCCTCCAAGCCGTCGATTCAGCCCATCCAGCATCATCTCTCTTGGCCTGCCTCTGCCCTTTTTCCCACTGATCTTTCCAGTTGTCACGATGTTCTCCAATGTCTCTCTTCTCATTATGTGGACCAGAAAGAGTGTTTGTCTCTTTTTGTTGTAAATGGAGATCTACTTTCATTAGCTGCTTTCAAACAATCGTTGTTAGTTACTCTGGCGGTCCAAGGTATTCTTAACAATCGTTTCAGAAACCACATCTCTGTTGCTTCCAAATTGTTCCTAATTTGTTCACTGACATTCCCAAGATTCGCTGCCACACAGCAGAACTAGGACTAGAAGGTTTAAATTGAATGGTTTATTAGCATCATAGGACTAAGGAGTGGTAATGGGATTCTAAAATTTCCCAAGTGTAATACATTAAAACATAGCATACACATACATCTACTGGACACATAAGAGTGGCTGGGAATTGTTACACATTATTATTATTAAAATACTGCTACATTTTGCTGAAAGTGGATGTATTGGGCCAAAAGAGGCAGATAGCCTAGCTGTAAACCACAAACTTCCAAACGCTCTTCTAAGATTGAACACAGAAGAAGAAGAATTATACAATGAATAATTGTGTTAATAGCAGTTCTTTTCTCTGGGTAAACAGGGATATGCCATATATCTGTCAAGTTCACGTGCGCGTGCACAACACCGACCCACACGCACACACACAACAACAGCAAAAAACTGCAAGTGATGCTTGTATTAACCACTTTTCTAGTGCAGTTGTTGGGGGTCTTTGAGTGAGGATTTTGGGCTGCAGGGCTGGTGGAGTCACCATGGATTTCAACTAAAGATGTTTTTTATGTGTGTGTATGCGCCTGCAACAGAAAACTACCCATATCATTACTGAGGAGTCAAGCCTCTTGCATGAGAGTAAAACATTTTTAAACCATTTTGCAAACCGACTTTGCTGTATATCTGTAATTTTTTTAAACTGTATTTTCTCAGTTTTGTATGCAGACTGTTGGTTTCTTGCCTTTCAGGCAGGTGCACTCAGACTTTGAATGAAGCTTCCAATTAGTCTACTCTTTTGGGTAGGCAGCGGGTCTATTCTTGTTTTCCCCTCAAAGGGGTCCCAGAACTCACACAGGGATAATATGTGTAAATAGTGGCGCAATCCTTTGTATCGAAAGGGTTTACAAATATTTACACAGGAACAATAATCTCAACACTACAAGATTAAATATTGCAAAGCAAGATAGTTTTCAAGTCACTTATTTGGTGGGGGCACACACACACACACCACACACACACACACACACACACCCACACACACACATATGAGTGTGTGTGTGTGATACATACAAATGTACCATATTTCCCCAAGTATAAGATGATCCCATGTATAAGACACTTTTTGGGGACACAGTTTGAGGACTGGACAAACTCCTCACCACTGTCAAAACTCTCATCCATAGGATAGTTCTTTAGTATCCTCAGTTGGGGTTCTTTTTTTTTAATGAGTAGCCAGTCTTGAATTATTTTCTCATTTGTAGGAGAACAAAATTTACATTCAGCAACACAGTGTCTCTTCACTTTTGCAAACTGAATCACTACACACATTTTTATGTGTGTGTATGTGTAGAAGTTATGGGAAAAAAAACGTAACCTGATGTAACAAGTGGGGAACCATAAGCGCAGAAACTATTACAGCGGGGAAAAACAATTCTGTAAAAAAAGATTTCCCATTTTGTGCCGCCCCTGAACTGGCATTCTCAAATGCACAGGATATTTTATAACAAATCATTTGGTATTGATCTACTACCATTGTATAGGAAACACTGTTTTTAGATCCTACATTTTTTGATAAGTCATACGGAACATACAGAAATATAGATATATATAAATATGAAATATATATAAATATGAAATATAAATATAAGTACAGTAAAGTAAAGAAACCTTTTCCATGCCTTCAGGCATATTGGGCATGTAAGGCTGGACCTGTATTTTTTAGACCAATCAAAACTCATTACATGATGAGGTCAACATCATGCCAGCTACTTTACTTCCCAGGACTTTACCTGGTCCCCATTTAAGGCTGGGTTGACCAGGGAACCAAAGGCAGTTTTTTTTTTTTTTTAAACAGTCCGGCTTTCTCAGGATCTTTAGATTTGCAGGAGAATGTCTAGTTGCCACACAACAGCTCGCTAATATATATATATATATATATATATATATATATATATATATATATATATATATATATATATATATATATATATATATATATATATATATATATATATATGTGTGTGTGTGTGTTGTGTGTGTGTGAGAGAGAGTTTATGTAGGAGAGAGGGGGGGGGAGATTTGAAGATAAAAAGAAAATACAATGTGACCATTACATTTGTCTAAAAGACATGATTATCTTATCTGTTCGATGTGAATGAATTGATGGTGTTATTAGACATAAGGCTGTTTTCTTTATGTAGTTTATATGAACACCGTTACTTTTATGTCTTCCACAGACAATGCAGCATTGATCCTAATGCAGCAGTTGACGCTGGCCCTTGGTAATGGCACAATTCCTGTGATTCCTCACATGTGCGAAAGTAAAGTTCCCAAGCCAGTCATTAACACTGCACTCTTAAACATAGAAATCGATATACCCAATGCAATCCAACCTCTGGTGCTTTATCTGCAAAGTGAACAATGTTACAAGGTATTTAATTGAATTAATAGTCATGGCAAAAGGGTAACTAAAGAGAAGAGGTTGCATTTTCAAGACCAGGGCACTGCTGACATAATGCGCACATGCACTGAATAAAGGCTGCTCAAACTGCCCAGTGTCCCAACTAAAATCACACTTCAAACACCTGAGCACATACTGCAGAACTGACCCCTACAGCAAAACTTGTGAGAAAACATGGCCAGAGGGAAGAGGCATGTGGGACAGACTTTAGGGAACCCTTCGAGACTTGCTGCTGACATGCCGGTTAATGGAGGTGACACTGCTGGTAACCTGAGCATATGAAACTGATGACAAAGATAAAAAATAAAATAATTTTCACGCCTTGACGTGTGTTAGGGATACTCCTTACTTACTTAGTCGCACATATTCTGCCTTGGGATATAGAGTTTTGGGGTCAGTATCATGCCAGTTGCCATTTTTTTTCAAGATATTTTTATGGTACCCACTGTGGTGTTGTGTTGATCCAAAAGCACAGATTGATAAAAAAAAAATCTGCCTTGATAGGGATTTGACAGACAGGTCTTCAGCAACGTGGTAACACATTAATAGTAATCTTATAATTGTGGGGGGGGGGGGGGGGGGAGGTGCTAAACAAAAAAAATGAGGCCTCGCATAGGCAAAGGTTAACTTGCTTTCATTCCTTGATGGGTGTATACATTTAATATCACAATTTTATCAGGTTTAACGTTTCTGAAGTGAGTATTCGTTTTTTTTTTTGGGGGGAGGGGGGGGGGAACGTTTTTGAGTCGATGTGCATGAGAGAGAGATAGATAGATAAGAGACAGAGATGGTGTAGATGGGGCAGAGGAGAATTCTTATTTTTAATTGTTTCACAATTTTTTTTCCAGTGTGATTTGATTCCATGGTCAAGAATAACTAATAACTGTTCAGTCAGGATCGACTCGAGATGGCCAATGAGGGTAGAGCTACGCCGGGAGCTACGCTCAAGTTCTATAGTGTATCTTTCAGAATCTTGCAGGTATAATTATTTATTTTACCAATAATATTGAAATTAACACCTGTGAGATGATGTGTCTAAGGAAAGCTGCCAACGTAGCCGTCCAAGCAATGTTACTGTCAAACAGGTTGTGAAAACAGTCATCATCTCCAGGTGCCTTGCCAATGGCGTGGGTGATCATGCCTCTCCACAATCTGCGATCTTCTGCAGCATGTATCAGTTTGTGAGCTGACACACCTCCATGCCATGCAACATGACTGTCAGGAATCTTCTCTCATTTTCTTCCCCTATCCCCCCTTCCACAGATCTTTCCAGTGGTCACAGCATGTTCCATTTTCCCTCTTCTCATAACATGGCCGAAAAATGATTACTGTCTCCCTCTTTCAAAAGCACTTGGTGAGAACAATACCTTCCACTAAATTAGTTGAGAAGCAGAAAATCAAATGGTTTGGTCATCTCATCAGAATACAGCCATAACAACTAGTAGCTATACCTGAAAGTTCTCATCTGAGAGCAAGAAGCCACCCCAAAAATAAAATGGATTAAGGCCATTGAAGACATTATACCTAGATGTGGAATGACAGTGTAGTATCAAGGGCTTGCTGGACCACAAGCTGTTGCTGCCCATGACCTTTAACTGAAAAAGTGGAAGTTGATGATGATGATGGACAGTCATTACTCCAACTTTCTTTGGTATATGTTAAAATTGAAAGAGCATTATAATAAGACAGATCTGATACAAATAAGCTGAATCTGGATACAAATAAGCCAGATCTGGATACAAATAAGCCAGATCTGGATACAAATAAGCCGGAGGGGGGCTATTTAGAAACAAATAAGCCAGATCTGTTAACAAATAAGCCATACCTGGATACAAATCAGCCAGATCTAAATACAAATAAGCCAGATCTAGATACAAGTAAGTCAAGTCTGTCTGGATACAAGTAAGTCAAGTCTGTCTGGATACAAATAAGCCAAGTCTGTCTAGATACAAATAAGCTGGGTCTGTCTGGATACAAATAAGCCAGATAGGGATAAAAATAAGCCATATCTGGATACAAATAAGCCATATCTAGATACAAGTAAGTCAAGTCTGTCTGGATACAAATAAGCCAAGTCTGTCTAGATACAAATAAGCCGGATTGTCTGGATACAAATAAGCCAAATCGGGATAAAAATAAGTCAGATCTGGATACAGATACTATTATTATTTCTTTCTTTCACTTAGGGAGAGTGCTCTGACTATGCTTTACAAAGAAGGAGCAAACTATACGATTTATCTGGATTCGGATAACGATAACGTCACTTGTAATCTGGTCATGAACAATGATTCTGCAGATCCCTTCATCCGTAAGTGTTATTGATTGTCCTGTTGTGCTCTTATTGCCATTATATTTCCCATAGGGCTCACATCTTGACAGTCTTGTTGCATAGCATGGAGGTGTGCCGGCACACAAACTGATACATGCTGCAGGAGATCATGGATTATGGAGAGGCATGGTCGCCCACGCCAGTCGGCGTGATGAAGATGATGAGGGCTCACAGTCTATTTCTGCAATACCCTCTATCCTGTGCAATCACTTCGATATCATGGATGGAATTACTTTCATTTTTGTCCCTGGGCATGTGGGTTGTTGGCATTGAAACAGCTGATAGATTGGCCGGTTTTGCCTTAGTTGAAGATGGCCAGCTTATGGATCGTGCCAAACATTGTTAATGCCCTTAGAACACATTTGATGATTAGAGGAATAGGATGTGAGAATTAGGAGTAAAGATGGGCACAGCCAGGCATGAGAATCAGACTGAATGTACAGGAAGTCTTGTTAACCAGCATAGACCAAAGGACACTGATGTATATGTTAAAGGGGTAATCTTAGCTCCCGTGGACGTGTCTGCAGCGCCCCGAAGACAACTCAACTCCTAACGCGTGGTGGTGAGATTTGGAAATTCTTGGAATATTCACCACATTGGGAACCTGCCTGAGGATAGAGGTGGTACTAAAGAAATGAGGCACCTGGGTGTAACCAGAGGGTCTAGCCGGCTCACTAACTCAGAGAAAAGGCAAGTTGGACATATAACCAGATTGTGACCAGTACCATCAGTATTGGAACTCTGTGCTGGCTGCTGAAGATGAGGACGGAGCACACATGGGAATGCCCCGAGTGCTGTGATGTCAATTCTTGACTCAGCTAAACTCAACTGAAGAAATGCTTAAAGGTCTTGACCACTGTTTATCTTGATCCAGGTTTTATTACCTCCGTGCCCCTACACAATGGCTTTAATGCTTATCGTTCACCTCACAGTCAAAAGATGTTGGCTGCTAATGTTTATATGGACGAACAAGGAACCTTGAGAAAATTATACTCTTTCCTGATCTATAGGAATGAATCTAAACTGGAACATGTGTCTTTCTTCTTATAATCCATGTTGTGTGACATGGGTAGTCATGTCTATCCACAACCTTCTGTCTCATGTACTTTCAGTCAGTCTGGACACAGTGGATCTTCCATGCCATCATGTAAAACTGTCCAGCATCTTCTCTCTCGGTCTCCCTCAGCCTCTTTTCCCCTCTAACTTTTCCCACTGTCACAATGTAACCTACACTTTTCTGCTTCTCCTGACATGACCAATGAATGTAGATTAGGACAATGAGAAGATTCTTGATGACCTCTTGGAAAGATGTGCAGACTATTGGTTCCATACCCTTATGGCAAATGACTTCTGACTTTGAAAGAAACGCCATTATCTAGTAGCTTTTTATGACATGCTTGTTAGGGGCAGAGGGTATATTTTTTACCCCCAAAATGGGGCCACTGAAGCCACGTGGAGAATATGTATTCTAAAACTGAAAGTATTTTTTTTTTCTCTAGGACAATGCTCCCTTCCATGCTTTAACTTTTTTTGGGGTCTCTCTTCTGTTTGTCTTCTCTTGTGGAAAAAAAAAAGAGTAAATGACTCTACACATCAGTGGTGCATTGTGTATATGGTGCTAGACCCATGTTTTTATATAAGCCATTCTGAACATCATAGGTACTGTGATCAACATCAGCTAATTTTCTAGTACATGTTTTAGTTTGGTCAACCTGGGAGCCAAGATATCCTTATTAAAATGTCTGCCTTGATTTACATCTGAAACCAAGATCTTTGGCCAGCAGGCAAGCAGTCTCTTCTACAACTCACCAGTCTCCTCCATCTCTATCACTCACCACAAACTCACACTCACTAGCTCACTCCCCTGTGTGGGTTCTGGGGCTCCATTGTGGTTGGAGAGGGGGGGGGGGGGTGAATAGACCCACAGCCTCCCTAAAAAGCATGTAATAAAAGTGACTAATAAGGGATTTTCCCACCGAAATCAGAGTGCAGCTGCATGAGAGGCAAGGAATCTACAGTCTGCATACAAGTAAGCCAGATCTGTAACACAGAAGTGCATACAGAATTCAAGTTATAAAACAAGACTAAAGTCCAGAAGTGAACAAACAACCTGAACTCTCTGTGAGAGTTTACAGCCAGTGAATTCTAAGAAGAAGACTAGGTCATTCATTTACTGATTAATTGTAATATATTCTATTTCAGCAATCTACGTCGCCATCACTGTTGGGATTCTGTTAGCACTTCTGTGGACATGCGGAAAGTATTTATACAGGTAGGTAGTATTCTTCTTTTTTGAGCCTTCTGCCAGAAAAGATTATATCAGGAGGCCAGAAGCATAGATGAAAGCTATCATGCAGTTTGAATCTGCCCTTGTGCCACACATAAAAAAAAAATACTGAAGTTAGCACAGGTGATACAGAACCCTCAGCAGTAGACAGTATTACTTTAGCTAATTATTTTCCAGTAGGTTGTGAAATCATGTTATGAGAATGATTGGGATCAAGAACTTGGTAACGACCGGCAAGATTGATGGAAAGAGAGCAAAAGAAAGGCAAAGAAATACATTTCTATGTGGCTTTGCCATATGGATGGGGGCGAGACAAGAACACTGGCCTGATCCGTGATTCTGGTGATTGTTTGAGATGGTGATATATGATAGCCTACACTTATTGGCACAGCGAGTAGTTTAGGTTTTGATGATAGATCAACATCATGGCACAAGGGTAGTAACCCATAGGCTCTGTTCTACTTCTGACACAAGCCTGTCTGAAGAAGCTCAGCGCAGTGCAGGAACTCTGTGGCACAGGCGAGGATCATGAAATACTTTCGGTAGATTTTTAACTACTTTTTTCAATTTCCAACTGCCAAAAAATATTTTAAATGCGCAACAATACACACGGGCGTCCGATCTTACTACCCGGAGACCAGGTGAAATCACTAGAAGTCCACATGAAAAAATCCCATCCTTTACCAGGGTTTGAACCTGGGACCTCCAGCACTTGAGGCAGATGCCGTGCCTCGAGCCCTTGCAGCCCTATGCCTATTGTAATGATGAGGATGAATCTAATAAGCTGCTGTTTTAAATAATAAAAATTTGGGTCTGAAAAGTTAAGACAAAAAGGATTAAACTAGGGGTGGACAACAACTTTGGGTATGCGGGCTATATAGAACAAATCTATTAAGAACACAACACCCAGATTTCCTCTAAAATACCTCGTTATTTTCTGACCGGACACGCTCACCCACTGTAGACCCTCTGTATGTTCCTAAGTGTGTCTGTTCTAGCTTGGTATTTGCAGAAATCATATTATTGAGGGAAAGTGAGGAGAAAATCAGATTATATAGTAATTTAACACTGGCTTCACAGGCTCAGCGGGCCAGTTTTCACCTGAAGGCCGTAGTTTGCCAACTCATGGAATAGACCCACATGACTTCCCTGTTTGTGACTGGTGTCTAGAATTCTTCTTGTATTGCATGTTGATAAAGAATCTGGTCAAAACTTTTGTATTGTTTCTGTGTGTGTGCACGCCGCCCACCCTCATTGTCTTCCCTGTCATTACTTATGCTCTGCTAAATGGTGTTTTGTGTGTGTATGTTTTGTTTTACAGACATTATGTAATTTCTTTGACTGTTATACCTCTAGATGGGCCTCCAAAATGTTGTATCTTTTTTGCACTTTTAGAAAAAACATTAGCCTATATTGTACAGGGAGTTGTCATGGTACAGTGACTAGCGCATGTGTGTTGAATTCCTTTATATAGCAGTGATCTTTTTTTTTTTTTTTTATTTCATTATTATGCATGCAATCTTTGCAAGTAAAGTTAAACAATTTGGTGTCATGGTGTTATATTTATGGCGTTAGTCCTGTATTTTTAGACCAGGCAACGATTGATGTGTAACGTATAATTTTAGCCCATATTGATTTAAATTAGAGTGAATAGATCACAAAAAAAAAAGCTTCATGAGAATGGGTCATAATGATATAAGTTTAGGAAGCTCTGATCTACAGGTAAAGCTTGTATTCTTTTCTCAAAAACTGTTGTTCCTTTACAGATCCGGCTACATACATCGGGTTGTCTGTTTCTGGAGTACAGAAAGCATGATGTCTGTAAGTATTGGTTTTTTTTAAAATTTGTATTCGTGTACTTTGAAAACTACCAGAACTTGAGTTGTACAGCTGTAGTTGCTGTATATTTCATTCTTATGTGTAAAGCTGTTTAAAATGTGCAATCTGATTTATTTATATTCAGTTCAATGTGGATTCCGAAGCTCCATTGTGCGGAAAACAAGAATAGACCCACCGCCTCCCCAACAAGCATGTCGTAGGAGTCGACTAACTCATGACTTCCTTTGAAGTCGGAGTGCGTCTGCCCGAATGACAAGGAACAACCAACTACACACAAATAAGCCGGTAAAACGGATGTACACGCAAAACTCAGACCCTGGCACAAAGCCAAAGTCCAAATGGATAAACAACCAGGACTTTCTGCAGGAGCTTATTTTTTCAGTTTTTTTAAACAAATTTGATCTTTCACAGTGTTGATTGTCCATTTCTTCACAGGATTTGGGAACTCCCACAAACATCAGCCAAGTAGACAATGCTGCTTCACCAGAGCGTAGAACAGTTGTGAAAGAAAGATTGAAGTCTCTGGACACATTTAGAGGGTCAGTGTTTATTTTAAATGCAGCATCTGTCATACTTATCTCTTAGTCTGTTGTTAATTGGTTGGAAATACTGGGCTTGCACTAGATGCAGTCAAAGGCATTACTAAAATGTGCATACTCTTTGGTTAAGTGGTTAAGCTGTTTGCCTTGCTCTATGAAAATCGTGGTTTCATTTCATTGGTGTAGATCTTGATATATGAAAGTAAATCATGGACAGTTGGTAAATGAGTGAAAACAATTTTGAAAGCTGCGAAGATCAGGTTGTATAGACGAATACTCAGAATACCTTGGACAGATAAAAACAGTAGTTAGGATGTCTTGAAAGAAATTGACTCACGAAGAGAACTTATTGCCCACATCAGAAAGAGACAATCTACATTCTTTGGTCATGGGATAAGAAAGGAGAAAACATTGTAACAGTAGCAAAGTTGGAGGGGATGAGAGGCAGAGGGAGGCCAAGAGAAAAGATGCTGGACAGTTTGACATCATGGCATGGAGGATCATCTGTGTCAGAGTTGACTGAAAGTACACGAGACAGAAGGTTGTGGATAGACATGACAACCAATGCCACAGCATGGACTTTAAGAAGTAGTAGTTTTGTGTAGAGATTCCGAGTTTATGTTTTATGCAACGCTTTGGCATATGGCTAGCTGTTCTATGGAGAGAGACTGAGCTGTATGAGATACACTTTATGCAATGAAGTCAATCCTCTTGGTTTTAACTTAACTTTAACATTGATGATAGTACCACTCAAGATTCCTTGTTTTTGTGTGTGTGTGTGTTCCAAATTTATCTTTTGAGAGATACACTCTAAAGCACTAGAGTACAGTATGCCATTAGATGAAACATATAGTGCAGACTGAGAGTTGTGGCTGTAAGCTTTGATTGTGTGAGATACACTCTAAGGCACTAGAGTGCAGTGTAGTATGTCATTTGATGCCACATACTGTGCAGACTGAGTGTTGTGGCTGTAAGGTTTGATTGTCTGAGATACACTCTAAGGCTCTAGAGAACAGTATTCCATTAGATGCCACATACTGTGCAGACTAAAAGTTGTGATTGTAAGCTTTGATTGTGTAAGATGCACTCTAAGGTACAGAGTGCATTATGTCATTTGATGCCACATACTGCGCTGACTGAGAGTTGTGGCTATAAGCTTTGATTGTGTGAGAGTCATTATAAGGCACTAGAGTGCAGTGTAGTATGTCAATTGATGCCACATACTGTGCAGACTAAAAGTTGTGATTGTAAGCTTTGATTGTGTAAGATACACTCTAAGGTACAGAGTGCATTATGTCATTTGATGCCACATACTGCGCTGACTGACAGTTGTGGCTATAAGCTTTGATTGTGTGAGAGTCATTATAAGGCACTAGAGTGCAGTGTAGTATATCATTTGATGCCACATACTGTGCAGACTAAAAGTTGTGATTGTAAGCTTTGATTGTGTAAGATACACTCTAAGGTACAGAGTGCATTATGTCATTTGATGCCACATACTGCGCTGACTGAGAGTTGTGGCTGTAAGCTCAGATTATATGAGATGCTCTCTAAGGCACTTGAGTGCATTATGCCATTAGATGCCACATACTGTGCAGACTGAGAGTTGTGGCTGTAAGCTCAGATTATGTGAGATACTGTCTAAGGCACTAGAGTGCAGTATGACATTAGATGCCACACACTGTGCAGAGTTGTGGTTGTAATCTTTGATTACCCTGGTGACCTAAGCTGTTATGTTTTAGTACGGTGTATGTATTCCGATTCTGTTAAAAGGATTCATTCCTTTAGTATCCATTCAACGGATGCAACCAGATATGCCAGGGAATAGATTGTGCAGTCTAGTGTGTGTCTTCTTTCTGTAAACTAAATAAATTTTCCTTGTAATCCCCAGAATTGCTATTACCATCATGATATTTGTCAATTATGGAGGGGGACAGTACTGGTTTTTCAAACACTCCAAATGGAATGGCCTGACCGTTGCAGATTTGGTTTTTCCTTGGTAAGCGCTCTTCACACATAACAAAGTTTTCTTTCTTTAATGTTTTGTGTGTGTGGCTTTCATTAAAAAAATATTCAAATACATTTTGTTTTGGACTATATTTACTAGAAATAATAAACAAAAGCTTTTTTTTTACTTGTCAAGCTGACTTTTGAAAAATTTTTTTTAATATTTAACATGAATATTTCAAATAATTGGAAACTTTAGTGGCTGTCAGATAGGATACACATTGAAAAGGAATATGGCAGACCCAAAAACATAGAGAAGAGAATAAGTAAGATGGTGGGAAAATGATAGGAGGTGTGATTTGTGGGTGAGCTGCATTTGATGGCTTGGTGTAATCTGGTAATCTTAGTTTCAGCTTCATAGCGAACGGGACACCACATAGTTGCTACGCTCCTGTGCCAATGAAAAACACACTGAATGTTAATCACATTCACTTGTGGAAAGATTGACAGACTGCTGTTTTAGCATATCTAGCATACAAACGCTTTAAAACATACGGTAGCCATCTGAAGTTCTAACACAAACAGTCTGACATTAGAAATGCAGTTCATCATGGATGGTAGTAGAAATCAACAACAGATTAGTAGTTGCACACGCCATCAATTTTAATCGCATAATGGCACCACCAATATTGCGACAACAGACATCGCGCCATTCTCTGAATCTACAATTCACACCACCCCGTTGGTCACAGTCGAAAAAACATTCTAAATTAAAATCGTAGCTCATAGTGTCACTCCATGCACTCAACTTAGAAGCTAGGCGACGAAACTACATCCTTTCAGTCTACAAATAGAGCAAAAATACAACGGCCACCGTCTGGCAGAAGCAAAAAATTTGCCACAGCTCGAAACAGCGGCCGTGCCTAGCGTCCATTAGCTGTGAGTTGGTTAATGGGTAGTACTCCATTGGGGGATGAAAGGTAGAAGTGTTTGATGTGTTTCTGTCCATATTGTTCTCAGTGAGTTCTGTTGGTTGCAGAAAAAATCAGCTTATAACCATGATCCGTAATTTATCTCAAAGTACTTGAGGGATAGAAGTGCCATTCAGTCTTTCATAACTGAACAGAATCTAGTTAATTTTGAGTACCATTTACTTGGCTGGAATGAACAAGTCATCATTCTGCTCCTCCTCAGGGCAGGTCATAGCAAACTTAACAAGCATATACAGAGGCTCCGTCTGTGTAGTTTATCTGTGTGCCCATATGGGTTGTGTATACAAACCTATGTTCTGCAAGATTATCACTTGTACAGCCCATTAAGAAAGGAATACTGGCCCATTGAAGCCAGTACTATACTCAAAGCTGTATGGAACCAAAGAGGTATTCAAAACATTCAGTTTTATTATAGGAACACATTTGTCTTGGTAATTCAAGCATGTGATCACAAGACAAGGAACCTTATATCCAGTGTACCTTGATGGCATAATAGGGTCCTTTATATAAACTTTCACATGTACATGGCTTTTGGTCAATATGTCAGATAGGCAGGCTTACCTTTTTGTTGTTTTGTCGCATGTTTTTACTTATGACACTTGTCAGCTGTTGCATTTTCCTCCATATGTAGACTGAAAGAATATAGTTCTGTCACCCAGCTACTGAGTTGAGTGCATGGTGTGGCACTGTCAGCTGTGGATTTCATTTGGAATGCATTTCAGCTGTGCCCAACATGGTTTTTGTAGTGAACTGCAAATTCAGAAAGTGGCAAGTGGCCTGTTGCCAGAGAACTGGTGATGCCTCATGTGATTAATTTTGTTTATACCTACTGATTTGTTGAAAATGCTGCTTCAATCGGCGATGAACTTCATTTCTATTACCAGGCTGTTTGAGTTGGCATTTCTAATGGCTGCCTTATATATTTAATGCATGTTTTGGCTATTGGCTTTGTTGAGGCAGCAGTCTTCGTCAATTTTTTCACAAAGAACAGTGATGGACATTCTGTGCTGTTTTCATTGGCACAGGAACAGAGCAACTAGGGGGTGACCCATTTGTTATGAAGTTGGAACTGCTATTACCTGATTATCTTATTACATGTACAGTGTTTGCATTGAGAGAAGTTGTCTTTCAAAATACAATGCAGATAATAGGTAAAGAACCCTTTTCCTTGTGTTGAAGTATGTTGAAAAATGATGCTAGGCTATATTTGTATGTTCCAATCAGAACTTGACTGGTGCTGTGTTCATTATCAGTCCAGCTGCCATTATTTCCAGGTACATTTCCTGGTGTCCATTTTTAGGATGGTCAAACTTAGGAATCTAGTTCATTGGAAATTCAAACCTATATCCACTGGGCAAGCAGGCAAGAATACTGTTCAATGCATCTCAGCAGTTCCTAATTCATACACTAGCCATTTTGATTGCTCCCTGATGACAGCTTGGCGTCACAGCTACCCAATGAACCATAATTAAGATATTTAGCCAATCAAAACAGATCTTGGAGTTCCTGTACAACCTTACAGTTAGTTACATATCTTTTACATAACATTGCAAACCTACCCCAGCATATGTTGGTTGTTTGTGGTTTACTAGACATTTTTACATTTAGTTTGACATTGCTTTCTGACTGGTCAGTTCTTCATATCATTGTAGTAATCAATATAAAGCAGTCTGTAACTGAATCCAGCAACTAAAAAAAATTACTATTAGGGACCCAAATGCATACAGTAAAAAAAAAAAGGAAGTGAAGGTCCCTTTTCCACGCCTTTAGACGTATAGGGCTAGACCTAGATTTTTTTAGACCAATCGGCACAGGATGGGTGATGTGGTCAGCATCACAGTAGCCGCCTTTACTTCCCATGACTGCACCCGGTACCCACTCAAGGCTGGGTCAACCTGGAATCAAGATCATTTTTTTTACAAAGTCCGGCTTAGCTAGGGAGCGAACCCATGACCTTCCAATCCGCATGCGAGCCTCTAGCCGCTATGCCGTGGCGGCTCCCATGCATACAGTAGTGATGTGTAAATACTCTTTTTTAGCGGTATCGTACAGTTTAGTGTTCTGTGCATTTACTTATCTTTAATGAATAATCTTTGACAGGTTTGTGTTTATAATGGGAACTGCAATTGTGTTCGCTTTCAAAGGACAACTACAGAGCCTCGTTCCAAGATGGAAAATATTTTTGAAGATTCTTAAACGTTCTGCAATACTCTTCCTGCTTGGATTGCTCATGAACTCTTTTGGTGTCAAATCTGGTGAGTTTGCACACTCAGTTTTCAGAGTGCGCATTTAAACTTTTTTTTGGGGGGGGTTCTATTCCTATCCTCTTCTCCTCCTTATCTTTTTCTTCTTTTTCTTATTTTGCCTTACAGCTCCCAGAGGAGCATAGGTCAACTCTTTGTGGACATGTTTATGATCAGTTTGATTTTCTGCATATGTTGTCCATTCTTACACCAACCTTCCTTAGTCATCTCTCATGGATTGCATGGTAGGCTCTCCCTTCAGTGATCTCCACTATGGGTACAAACCAGGATGTTTGCTTGAGCTCTCTTAGGTTCCCCAAAGCTTATTTATCAGGTCTACTGGGTTTTGCCACATGTTGTTTTACAACTCCTCTAGAAGAGAACAGTCTTGCAAGACATGCCCTGGGGTCTGCTCATCACACAGACACTGACAGCGAGCTGTTTGGCTCCTGTTTAATTTATATGAGCATTTGTTGAGTCTGCAGTGTTCAGCGCATAAGTGAAAGATGATGACAGTCTGTTTATCAGGTGTTTGAGGAAATCTGTTCATAGTTTAACCATTTTTTTTTCCATATCTGTTTTTGAGCAAATCTTTTTCATGCTTATAATCAGTGTTTGTTTTCCAGTCTGTTTCTGAGGATATTTTTTCATGGTTTTAATGAATGTTTGTTTTCCGTTCTGTTTCTGTGGACATCTGTTCAAAGTTATAACCAGTTTTTTTTTTTCTCCCTAATCTGTTTCTGACATTCTCTGAGTATGTTAAGTTAAAGTGTTACTATTCTTTGCTTCCATACAGGTAACAGGTGAAAGGATTGACTTCACTGCACTAGGTTTTATCTCATATAGCTTGGTCTCTCCCTGCAGAATAGCTAGCCACATACTGATCATCATCACAGATAGCATGAACTTTATAGTTCCAGCCGTTGACCTGCAGGGATCTCCGTAAAAATTGCACTCATGAACCAAATGACCCAGCCTTTGCTGTCTCCTGGTGACTCACTGGGATATGTTGAATTTGGTACTTGCAGATTTTAGTGTCAGGTTATTGATTGTGTCTGAGAGCATACTGTGAGTGCATATATATATCATCCTTGTGTAGACTTGCTGCATCATCAGATGTTAAGTCTCAGCTTGATTCATTAGCCTCTGTATCAGCTTGTAGCATACTGTGGATCTTTTCTCCAGGCCATGCAGGCGTGGTGGGTAATGAACAGGCAGGCAGATTGACTGGATTTGCACCACTGGGTGGTGAATTGATACATCACAAAGCAGATATGATCAAGGCCCTTTGGGAACAAGCAGTGGAATTAGTAAAAAAAAAACAAGATTATTATGGCCTGGAGAGAATGAGGCACCTGGGTTTAACCAGAGGGTCTGGCCGGCTCACACTCAGAGGAAAAGCAAGACGGACATATAACCAGATTGTGACCAGTACCATCATTATTAGAACTCTGCACTGACTGCAGACCATTACAACTTTAAGAAGTGTGTTATTTATACTTAACATCAGATTTATAAAATGCCTGTTGCATTTACTTTTTAAAACTTGCTTTGACCAGGCTTGGATTTTGATACTTTCCGAATTCCTGGGGTGCTACAAAGGTTTGCAGGAACTTATCTGATTACAGCCAGCATACATCTCTTCTTAGCTCCAGCTCAACCCAATCAGGTAAGTTACATGCACTTCTTAACATTCTTGTCTCAGTGGCCGAATCATTTCCTTGTCTTCCATCTATAGTTTTACTTTTATTCTACAACAGTTATTGTTTTTGTAGTATAAACAAAGTCCAGTAACATTATAAAAGCTCGAACTGGAACATGACAGCTGGAAAGATTTATGGAAAGAGAGGAAGATTAAGACGATAAGGGAATTTTTAAATATTCTGTAGTCATGGCATGGTTGGTGCCATAACACAAACTGATAATCTTGTTGAAGATTGCAGATTGTGGAAATAACATGATGCCAACACCATTCAGCAAGGCACTTGATGATGATGGTTTTTTTTTAAATTTACTGCAAACTACACTAAAAGCAGTAGGCACAAAAACCAACCAAGTATGGACAAGTCAAAAAGAGAAACAAAAAAAGCCCCGCCATGCCAGATGAGGGAAGGCTTTTCTAAAAGAAGCAAGATGACATGGTGAGGAAAAGGTGGAAAGGAATCTAGATCCTCGATGTACCTCCTTTCACCTAGGAAAGTCTCCAGAATTGGCACCTGGGATCGAAGAAAGTAAAAGTAAAAATACACAGAAGCTAATAAGAAAGTTAGGAGGCAAGTTAGGGCAGGTAACATGAAATATTTAGATGACCTAGCAAAAGAAGCAGAGACGGCAGTAACAACCTCAGACCTTTAAGTACCACAAGTAAATTAGTAGGTAAATATAGTCAGCCAACTGGATCAATCAGAAAAGGAAAGGAACTCACCAACACTAAAGATCAAATGGGCAGATGGGCTGAAAAGTTTGAAATACTTCTGAATAGAGCTCCCCCCCCCCCCCCCCCCTTTTTTTTTTTTCCCTTTCCAGATATCCAGCCTAGAAAAAAAAAATGGATATTAACTATGAGGTGCCATCTAAAGAGGAAAGTAGGAAAGCTATTAGTTTTCTGAAGGCTGCAGGTTCAGATGCTATCCCAGCAAAAGTTTTTGAGGCGGATAGGCCACATCAGTGGAATTGCTACTCAGATTATTCACTAAATTCTTGTTGCCTGTGCAGAATAGAGGGAATTAAATGGTATTACAGAATCACTTGGTTGAGCTTTGGGAGAGAACTAAACAAATTTGAGTGAACCAAGAGGTGAAGAAAAGACGCTGGCATTGGATAGGACATACATTAAGAAAACATGAGAACAACATAATTAGACTGTCTTTGCACTGGAACCCACAGGGGCAAAGAAATAGAGGCAGACCATAAAACACATGAAGAAGGGAGTTAAACAGTGAAGTTAAAAAGCGAAGGATAGAACGACTTGGCGTGAGTTGGTTGAGGACATGCTCTGATGGTGGACAGCAGGCAGAAGAAAACAATATGTGCTAGTTATTTTCTTCCCATGATGTGACCTCTGAATTTGTTATGGAATATTTTAAATGTTCAGCTTGTTTCTACAGCCTTTTTTGCTATTATACATTTTTTTTCTCATTTCAGTTTGTGAAGTTTGCAGCGCTTCGTGACATATATATTTACTGGCCACAGTGGCTCATCGTCTTTGCACTCATTATCATACATACTTGTATAACACTGTTCTTGCCAGTGCCTGGTTGTCCGGAGTAAGTACCTCATTTGTTTATTCTGAAAAATATTTATGTAACCAGTGACTGGTTTAGTAGCTGTTAGTATCACATTTGTTTTGTTGTGAACTCTGTAAACAGTTTTTGTTCAGTAGTTACACTGCTAACAAAAATGTGTGTGTGTGTATACATGTATGTATGTACGTACGTATGTACGACATTCAAAATCGATTTTAACTTAGTGAGTGAAATTGTTCACAGGAGGGTTCAACTAATCAGTTGACAGCTCCTTTTTAGTCTCATAGGTCTTCGGTAGTTTTTATGCGTAAAGGCTTTCTCGTCAACAAATAAAAATCCACAATCAGATAACTATAGGATTTTTGTGTGTGTATGTTTTGTTTTGAACAGTATAGTATCACATGTGATTATTATGAAAGCTCTGTAACCAGGTTCAGTAGTCTGTCAGTATTCCATTTGTTTATTATGTAACCGTTTCCTAATTCAGTAGTCAACCAGTATTAATCAGTCTGTCAGTATTTAACACATTAGAACAGGACACAATCCGCTTGGCAGCCACATATACACAAAATTTAAAATTGGCGAATCAGCCATGTGCACATGTGGATTGGCACCCGAGACAACCGATCATGCCCTCCACGACTGTCCCAAATACAACATATTAATCAAAACTTTTGGCCAAGAGAAACACACATGCAAACAAAACTTTACAGGTTGCTGAGTGAATTACTAAAGACAGTGAAGTTCATACTAGAGACAACATTGCAGATATAGATAATCTGTTTCTAGCGAATGAAAGAAGAAGAAGACGTCTGTCAGTCAGGTGCCATCTCCTCATTGAAGGTTGGCTGCAATGGACCTCCTTCACTCTTTGTCTCTTGTCTTGTTAGTACAGTCTCTCAGGCTGCTGTTTGTCCATCTCCTGATGTTGTCCTCAAACTTGTTTCATTGTTTACCTCTTGCAGTCTCACCTTCAGCTGTACCCCCCCCCCCACCCCCCCCCCCCCCCCCAATACAGTTTTGAAAAGAATGTTATGTATTTTGATGTGACTGAAATATTACACTTGTTTATTATGAAAGCTATGTTTTTGGTTCACTCAATATTAGATTTGTTTGTTTGTTATGAAATCTGTTTAACTAGTGCTTTTTTCTCCCAGTCAGTTATTGCATTTGTTTATTGTCTTCTTCATTTGCTTGATGTTCACCAGCTGTAGACTTTGGCAGAAAATTCTGGTTCTTTGTCCACTTCTGGATTTTTTGGTCTTGATCCAGAACTTGAGTTAAACATGCACGTCTATTTTACAGATCTGGCTTATTTTTATGCAGACTGTTGGTTACTTGCCCCTCTGGTAGATGAAATCTGACTTTGAAAAAAAAAAATTAATTAGTCGCCTCCTGTGACACGCTCATTCCATCAGTTATCACATTTGGTTATTATATAAAATCTGTTTAACTAGTGCCTTGTCCAGTCAGTTATCTTATTTGTTTATTATTAAATCTGTTTAACTAGTGCCTTATGTAATCAGTTATCACATTTGTTTATTATGAAATCTGTGTAGCTAATTCCTGGTTCAGCCAGATGCCGTATCATCTTATTTATTTATTATAAAAGCATGTTTGCATTTGTTTTATAATTAATTATAGTTTATTCTTGTTACTATTCTTTGGCAGTGGCTACCTTGGCCCTGGTGGACTGGAGCATGGTGGCATTTACAGCAACTGTACCGGTGGAGCTTCAGGCTACATTGATCGCATGATCTTTGGAAGTTCTCACATTTATCAGACTCCAACTTCAGCGGTAAAATATCAGTGCTTGCTTGTGTCCACTAGCTTGAGACTGTTTCACACACAACATGTTTTCTTTGTGTATCCAAGTATTCATAACAAAAGTAGAAGATTCTCTAGAACCATCTCCATCAAGTCAGTGCCAGGTGTCAGAAATATTTAAAAAAAAAATTTGAAAAGACAGAGACAGTGGTGACAGTTAGACAACCAGAAACCATCTTAGTAAAAGTAAATAGCACAGAGATTAGACAAAAAGTAATTTACTAATCAATTGTCGCCTCAGAATGAAGAATGGATAGAGAAAACATCATAATGATGTGCAACGATAAATTAGATACTGGGACAGCTAAAACCACTGGTGACACATAAAAAGATACCCTTGTCTATTAATGAAAATCTCATTATATATATTTTTCTGGCTAATAAAACGCTACTAGTGTTAAATACCCACCTTTACTAATAATACACCCTACTGGGACCAAAATTTTGTTTATGTTAACTGACTTTTCGTCTTAAGTGAGTTCATAGTTTGACTGTAAATAGAAAAGATAATGATTGAAGCAGAAATATAATAGTGTAAGATGTAACAAAGAAATGACGTTGAAATTCTAAATAAAATACAAATACACAGACGCTACATCTTATGTCTCTCATATATGATAGTAGTAAACATGTGAGTATTATTTACTTGCTCGTATGTTTCTGAAACAATTTAAGGAAGCACGTACTAGTAACACTAGACTATGATGCATTTCACAAGAGGTAATGTGGTGTGAGGAAACAAGCTGCAAAATCCGTCCACTCATGAACAAGTTCTTAAAAGAGCTTGGCATGAATTCAGTCAACTTGTTCCGGCCAAAATTACGCACCATATGTAATCAGCTTTTGATGATGTGTACATGGTGTTCTATCAATGTAGTTGACATCTGGTCTGAATTTACTAAAGAAACCTGGCTAATATCTGAACATATGGCATGTAATCATAATCTGTCTATATCTCCACTAACTACTGGCATCTTGAAGGTTAATAGACTACAGTAATCAGGGCATAAAACGAGCAAGAATGCTAGATAACAGAGGAACAAAAACTGTACACAAAACACTTGAATTGGGGTTAACTCTAAGGCAGACCAAGAAGACATTTGAGTGATAATATACAAGCAGACTTAATCACACTAGGAGTCACCAAGTGGGGAAAAAAGACCAGTCACAGAAATGAAAGGAGATGGATGTTATCTTCAGCAGTGAACCTCAAGGCCTAGGAAGGCTGAAGCATATGATTTTTTTAAAGCATTGTCACATAAAATATTTTATTTATGTTTAGGAAATCTATCAGAGTACAGTCCCCTACGACCCGGAAGGTTTGCTGGGTACTCTGACCTCATGTGTCCTTTGTTTCTTGGGATTGCAGGTAATCTTTGCAGCTTTTTGTTATTTAGGATAATGTACATTACCCTTGATCTTTTCACTTAAGTAAAAAAGTCAGATGTAAAGGTAAAGGTGAAGTTGGGAGATGTGAACCAGCATTATTGCACACGGTTGCAAACCATAAGTGCTCTGCCACCAGTATGAACAGCTGATAAGAAACTGTCCGCCTGTGTCGCAGTCCGCACGTAACTCTGGTACCAATTTCATAGAGGCTGGGTGAACCCCGGGAGCCGCTCGGTTTCGAACACCAACCGTGGCTGCAGCGAGTTGCAGCTGAATTTGAAAGCAAGCCTCGTATCGACTGCGCTAACGCGGCTCAATCAGATGTGAAAATAGGTGTGAGGGGAAGAGAGTGACAGATAGAGCAAGAGACAGAAAATAGAGGGATTTTTGTGTGTGTGCACTGGTGCGTATGCATGCGTTTGTGTGTGTGGTTTTAATTTTTATTTTTCAGTCATGTTATCTAATGAACAAACAACTAGAAAATCAAATTGGATCTCTGGAAATGTGGGTATACAGAAGAATAGGTCATATTTTGTGGAAACAAAAAAAGTCCAGTACGGACGTTCTGGAAAGATTACAAATCAAAAGAAAATTACTGACGGAAATAAAAAAAAGAGACAGCTGAAATACTTTGACCACATTAAAAGACATGACCGCATTTAAAAACCATACTGGAAGGAAAGGTCGAAGGCAAGAAAGCAAGAGGTGGGCAAGGATACAAGCAGGAGGGCAACATCCAGAGATGAGCAGGCAGCAGTCAAAGAGAGTGTACAACCAGGACAAGAGACAGGGCGAGTTGGAGATCCATTGCAACCAACCTTCACTGTGGAGACGGCACCTGATTGACCTAGTTATCATGTTAAAAATGGAGATCTATTCATGGAAGCTTTTACTTTTATGTTATTTTAGGTGTCATGTTGTACATCATGGCTATTCAACTAAGTTCACTCAAGGACCAGCATGCGGAAAATGGGAGTCGTCACAGATTAGAGGTCCGAGCCGCGATGTAGAAAGATCATTAATACATTACAAGTGGTAATGATTTTCTGGCCACTTGCTAGGCCTCTTTTAGCTGGATTCAGCCCACGGTTGCCAGTTAATAGCTGTGTTACTGTATAGCCAAACCTTGATAACACGAATTATAAGGGAATGATAATTGAGTTTTTATTAAAAGAAATGTGTGCTAATTGGGGACTAATAACTAATACAACTCTGCTGGGACCACAGTTTTGTTCATGTTAACGGAGTGTTCTTATTAAAGAAGTTTGTGTTAACAAAGTTTTACTGTAATTGTGAATTTGGTCTTTTTTCTTCTTAGGCTGGCAAAATTGTATACATACACACAGATTGGGTTGGTCGTTGCCGAAGGTTTTTCATATGGATACAACTCTGCTGGGACCACTTTTGGTAAGTGTTCTCATGTGTCAAAGTTAAAAATGAATTAAATGCTGATTTAGTTTGCGAAGGGTTTTTCATAAATTGGTAAGGTCTCATTGGATTGGCTGGTAGTTTGCATTAAATTGGGGGGGGGGGGGGGGGGGGGGGGTGGGGGGGGGGTTTTTACTTGTAAAGTTTTATTTGTAATATAGAAGTTTAGAGAATTAACAGATCCTGCTCTTCACTAATTATTGTTATCATGTAATTGTGGTGCAGCGGCTAGATGATGGCGTGAGGATCCAAAGATCAAAGGGTTTAAATCCGAACGGGGGCCGGACTTTTTTGAAAAATGACCTTGGCTCACAGGTTGACCCAGCTTTGATTGGGTACCAGGTGAGATCCTGGGGAACAATGGGGTGGCTGGTATGATATTGACCACATCACCCTCCAGGTACCGATTGGTCTATAAAATATAGGTCTAGCAGTGTATGCCCAGTGCGCCTGAAGGCCCAGAGAAGGGGTCCTTTACTTTATCATGTAAACACCATGGGTTATTTGCTAACTCCTAATCAGATATGTGCCACCCTGTGGCTTAGTGGTTAATGAATGTGTTTCACAATCCATGAAAATTAAAACTAATACTAAACTAAACATTTGTAATTCTAAAGTCAAATCTGTACTGTTGTATGGAGCGGAAACATGGAGAACAACCAAGGCAACTGCTTTCCTTCATTAACCGGTGCCTGCGCAAAATAGAGTGAATTAAATGGTATGATAGAAACTAATGTAGAGCTTTGGGAGAGAACTTAGCAAGTTCCAGTGGACCAAGAGGAAAAGAAAAGACGCCGGTGTTGGATAAAACACACACTGAGAAAACCTGAGCACAGTATAACTAGAATGTCTTTGCACTGAAACTCACGGGAACATAGAAAAAAAGGAAGACCAAAAAACACAAGGAGAAGGGTGCTAGAGAGTGAAGTTAAAAAGATGGAGAGGACGTGGAGAGAGTTGCATGCAAAAAATATAGAACGCCTTGGCGTGAGTTGGTTGGGGACCTATGCTACATTAGGGGCTAGAAATGCAGAAGAAGAAGAATCCTTGGCATACCAGGGTTTGATTCTGACAGTGACTTTCCAGCATTGGTACTCCTTCTTCTTTGTGTTTGGTTTTGTATGCTCAGGTCAGACCATCAGGTGGGTTGCCTCTATGAACTCGCATGTGAGCTGCAGGTCCTTCATGGTTCCCCATAGCTGGCTCTGCACATCTTGCTCTTGAGACCAGGTTTCTTTTCAAAGATGTAGGTGCAGTGGGCAGGTCTGCAGAATGTGCTCGTGTGTTTGTGGTCCTGTCTGACATGCACACTTGTTGGGACTGTACAGTCTTTATTTTACACATGTGGTAGTTGAGCCTGCAGTGTCCTGTTCTTAGATGGAAAATTGTTGTATTTTGCTGTTTGTTGAGTCTGCTGATGGGGTCTTGGTACAAGAGTTACACAATGGAAGAGGTTGGTGCTTGATTACCTCATATTAACACAGGCAACAGCGGTTGCATATCCACTACAACCAACCTCAATTGTGGAGGTGGAACAGATTTACCAGATCTTCTTCATTTCTTATTTTCTGTCCCGGTGGATGTAAGATCAGCCTGCTATGTATCACCAGTGCCTGTTTGGCTGATATTTTTTTGCTTCATGTGTGGCATTTTTCTGTTCGCCATAATAAAATCAGGCTCCTTATATAATTGTCAGGGAGGGACGGAGAGAGAGGGAGGAATTTTTTGTTGTTGTCTACAATGTTTCCAAGTTTCAACTTATTCTAGCCACTTGTTTGCATGTAACTAATATTTTTGCATATAATGTTGGTTTTTTTCGTGTTAATGACCAGGAGCTCAGGTATAGAGGGCGGTTAGGTTCAGGGCCTCAGGTCTGGTAGGGTTAAGTATTTTTTTTTTTTTATAGTTTAATATTGATAGTTATTATGCATGCTTTTCTTTCTTTCAAATGTAGACTGGCCTGGGAATATTACTTTGTGAAGGATCACTGAATGATGGATGGATCCCAATCAATAAAAATTTATGGTATGTTGCTGTCTACGTTTTTTTTCCTTGCACCTAGCCATCACATTTTATTAGCACCTAAACTTTTTATGCAGTAATTTTTTAAAAAATTTATTTTGGCTCAACCTGGCCTAAAATGTCTGCCAGAAAATGGCACTTCAGGTGCCCGATTGATCAGAAAGGAAATGGATCTAGCACCATATGCCTGATGCTTTGCTGGCATGAAAGGGGTCTACCTTTGCTTTACTTGTCTACATTGAAAGGTGAAGAAGAAAGAATTCTTGCATGTCACACATACGTAGCCAGTCAATGTTTTTTAGACATGTTATGAGAAGGAATGGGCTTGAGAACTTGATAAAAACTGGCAAGATTAATGGACAAAGAGTGTAAGATGAAGGCAAAGAGATAAATACCTGGTTGGCCATGGATGAGACGAGACAGAAACGCTGATCCGTGATCATGTGAGATGAAAAACGTGCCAGCCTATGCTTACTGGCACGGCACATGATGATGATGTGACACAAAGCCACTGTCAACATGTGGCTGTGAATCCTGGACAGTTAGCAGTGAAACCAAAAATGTCCTTTAAACTTCAAACAATGAAGACTGGTTAATCCCTTGAAGTCGGAGTACATCTGCCCGTGAGGCAGGGAACGGCAAAAGCCAGTAAAACGGTTGTACACATAAAACTCAGGTCCAGGTAAAAGCCAAAAGTCCAACCAGGACCTTCCGCTGGAATTCACAGCCGGTGAACGAAGAAGAAGAAAGAAGACTGGTTACAATTCATTGGATAGACTTCTTCAGGGATCTCTAGTCTTGCACTTAATCCACTGTAAGCTGTAAACTGGGATATCAGCTCGAGGTCTGCATAGCTAATGCTTATATAACATTCATATATGTGGATTCCTCCTCATAAGGCATGACTTATTCATATATGTAGATTCCTCCTCATAAGGCATGACTTATTCATATATGTGGATTCCTCCTCATAGCTAATGACTTATTTATATATGTTGATTCCTCATCATAGCTAATGACTTATTCATATATGTTGATTCCTCCTCATAGCTAATGACTTATTCATATATGTTGATTCCTCCTCTCCTAAAAAAAAAATATGTTTCTAAAAACAGCCTTTTTCGAGTTTGCTCTCTAGACTAAAAATGCTGATGAAATTTGCTGTTCCTGAAAATGGACTGCAGCAAAACATTGTGAGTGTGGCATGCTGATGGAGGTTCAATCACTCACCATCCTACTTTGCCATAGCACAGCTACAATACACGAAAAACTATTTATCCTGCACTGGAAACACAGACACAATAGCATTACTTGACAAGAGAACACGCTGATCCAAAAGAAAAATCACAGCCATCGAACACTACCACTCGTCTCCATCTTGAAAACTGAATGTTTTTAAAGATTAACACACAAGGACAACATTCACCAACACACAGACATACTCAGTTACAGATTTCATGGTGTTTTTGTTTCTGCCCTATGACCAGGTCACTATCTTTTATTTTCGTCTTGTCTGGGATGGCATTTTTCCTGTTGATGGTCTGCTATTTATTGATTGATGTTTACAAAGTTTGGAATGGAACACCATTTTACTTTGCTGGTAAGTATCTTTGTGAATAAGGCTGTTTTTGAAAACTCACTATGTTTGCATTTTGGTGGGAGAAGAAAAGCCCCCCCCCCCCCCCCCCCCCCTCCCCCTTTCCCCAACCCAAATAGGTATGTCCTTAAAGCTGTCTAATTAGGGATGTTTCTTTCAAAGTCAGAGGGCATCTGCCCTAGGGGCGAGGAGCCAATATACAAATAAGCCAGATCTGTAAAAGAGATGGCCCTGCAAAACTAGGTTTTGGAATAAGTGCAAAGTCCAGAAATGTGTGAACAACCAGAACTTTGCAATGGAGTTTACATTTGGTGAATGCAAAGAAGAGATTATTTTTAGGGTAAATTCATGCTTAAGCTGTATATTCAGTCAGTTGCATATACTTATGACATATTGTTTTAACCAGATCATAAGTACAATAAAACATAATCATCAGCTTAAATAATGTACTTATGACATTTATGACATGTTGTTTTAACCAGGTCATAAGTACAGTAAAACATAATCATCAGCTTACATAATGTACTTATGACATGTTGTTTTAACCAGATCGCAAGTACAATAAAATAGTCATCAGCTTACATAATGTGCTTATGACATGTTGTTTTAACCAGATCATAAGTACAATAAAACATAATCATCAGCTTAAATAATGTACTTATGACATTTATGACATGTTGTTTTAACCAGGTCATAAGTACAGTAAAACATAATCATCAGCTTACATAATGTACTTATGACATGTTGTTTTAACCAGATCATAAGTACAATAAAACATAATCATCAGCTTACATAATGTACTTATGACATGTTGTTTTAACCAGATCATAAGTACAATAAAACATAATCATCAGCTTACATAATGTACTTATGACATAGTGTTTTAACCAGAACATAAGTACAATAAAACATAATCATCAGCTTACAAAATGTACTTATGACATGTTGTTTTAACCAGATCATAAGTACAATAAAACAGTCATCAGCTTACATAATGTACTTATGACATGTTGTTTTAACCAGATCATAAGTACAATAAAACAGTCATCAGCTTACATAATGTACTTATGACATGTTGTTTTAACCAGATCGTAAGTACAATAAAAAATAATCATCAGCTTACAAAATGTACTTATGACATGTTGTTTTAACCAGATCATAAGTACAATAAAACATAATCATCAGCTTAAATAATGTACTTATGACATGTTGTTTTAACCAGATCGCAAGTACAATAAAATAGTCATCAGCTTACATAATGTGCTTATGACATGTTGTTTTAACCAGATCATAAGTACAATAAAACATAATCATCAGCTTAAATAATGTACTTATGACATGTTGTTTTAACCAGATCGTAAGTACAATAAAATAGTCATCAGCTTACATAATGTGCTTATGACATGTTGTTTTAACCAGATCATAAGTACAATAAAACATAATCATCAGCTTACATAATGTACTTATGACATGTTGTTTTAACCAGATCTTAAGTAAAATAAAATCTATAATGAATGAGATTACTGGAAGGCAAATGAACAGTACAGATAGACCTGTGTGTCAGAATATAATATTTTGTTGAGTTAGCATTCTTGTTTGAGAAATTCTATAGAGGCTGCTGAAATGTGGTTTGACAGGATAGAGTTGAGAGCACCATGAACAGATAAAAAGCATAATGAAAAGGTCTTGACAGAAAAGATCTCATGAAAAGATAGATATGAAACCGAATGAAAAGAAGATCAGCGAGCTTCACAGTATAACAAACACAAACGAAAAGTGAATATTGCGGCTACAGAACCTTATCAGCACATACATAAACCAAATAAAACCACACAGATACACCAAATTACTTAAGTGACGTATCCCGTAACGGCCACGTTGATGTCTTGCCAGTGGAAATAAACCAAAAAGAACACTTAACCCTTTGATAGACGAGAACACTTTACCCAGTTGTACTGCAGGTTTCTTTATAACCATTAGGTGTCTCAATATAATGTCTTCTTCTTGTTCACGTTCACCAGCTTTAAACTCTGGCAGAAAGTTCTGGTTGTTCGTCCACTTCTGGACTCTAGTCCCATTCCACAAACTGAGTGTTGCCTGCACATGCGTTTCTCAGGTCTGACTCATTTACATGCAGACTGTTGGTTCCTTGCCTCTCAGGCAGATATGCTCTTACTTCGAAGGTAGCTCCCATTTAGTCGACTCTTACGACATGCTTTAGGGCAGGTAGTAGATCTGTTCTTGTTTTCCCGACAGTGGGACCCCGGATCCCACACGGGGAGCAATATAACTGTTAGGTAGTTGAATGGTGTTTCTGGGATTTGTACCTTGGAGATTCTCATCTGAATGATGACTCTTTGGGTCACCAGGTGTTAATCACATGAATTACTCAGTATGCAGTCCTAGAGGGATTCAGTGAACTCACTCACTCACTATTGAAAGAAATTAACTTAAACAAATTTGCTAAATAATGTTACCAACTTGATGACCATTCCAACCATTTTTATTCTAACTCTGGCATAAATTCTTACTTTTATTATGTTATTTAGCTACTTCAACTAATTACTGTAATTAATTACTTGGACTAATTGCATTACCTACTTCATCACCATTTCAACTATTTTTATTCTAACTCAGGCATAAATTCCTAATTTAATTATGCTCTTTAGCTACTTCAGCTAATTACTTTAGTGCTTTATTAATATCCTACCCCAAACAGGGGGAAATCCACAGGTCAGGGGACAGTCTAATATTTCTGGGGGTGGTAGATAGGCTGCATTCAGTCGTTGGACCTAGGCTGCATGCAGTCTTGGGACTTAAGCTGCACTCTCTTGTGGGACAGGTGGATTGGGGTTAGGGCCAGTTCTAGATGTTTTGGGGTAATTAAAAGCATCAGAAAGCCGGGAAACCCAGTCTTACCACCCTCTAAAATGTTGGACTGTCCTGTGAGGTCATCTGGGGTAGGATATTGATAAAGAACCATTACTTCAATTAATTACGTGAACTGATTACATTACCTACATTCTTACAAATTCAACTATTTTGATTCCCGCTCAGGTATGAATTCCATTGCACTGTACTGTGGTCACGAGTTCTTTTCTGGGAGAGCTCCAGTCTACTTCAAGGTTCCAGAAACACATGCAGCCTTGCTGGCACTGAACATCTGGGGAACTGCGTTCTGGCTTCTAGTTTCTATTTACTTTTATTACAAGAAAATTTTTATTTCGGTTTAAAACTGTGAAGCTGCTCCACAAAGTGCTTGAAATAACAAATTAACACAGAATTTATTTTTCCCACATATACTTTATCTCAAAGTTTGTTTTTCTTTTCTTTTACTCCTAATATAGAAAAGGAGAGATTACAGGTAGAGAGAAAGAGAAGTGTGAAAGCATACGTTAGTAAAGAAAACATTTACAAGTAGAAAGAGAAGTGTAAAAGCATACGTTAGTAAAGAGATTTACAAGTAGAGAGAAAGAGAAGTGTGAAAGCATACGTTAGTAAAGAAAAGATTTACAAGTAGAAAGAGAAGTGTGAAAGCATACGTTAGTAAAGAGATTTACAGGTAGAAAAAAAAAGTCTCAAGTGATGGATAGATGGAATATCTGAGGCCATAAATGCCAGCATCTACGTAGCACCCGATGCCTCTTTGAAACTCAATGCTGAAAGGCAGTAGAGGACTAGAGAGGAAGAAGATGTGCTTCAGCATTATGTGAGCCACTTTTACTTCCCAAGATTTTTTTTTAGTATCCATTTAATGCTACATCGACCTTGGAGCCAAAGTCAGTCTTTTTAAAAATCTGTCCTGGTGCGGAACCAAACCCAAGACCTTCAGGCAAGCATCTGAACACTGAATTGCTACAACTCCTCATTAAGACATGACTCAAGTCCCCAGGTGGATTCTATAGCCACATTTTAAGAGGGAAAATAATAATCCCACTGCACCCTCAACAAGCATTTTGTTAAAGCTGACTAATTAGGGGCGTTTCCTTTAAAGTCGAAGTGCATCTGCCTGAGAGCCAGCAGTCTGCATACAAATAAGCCAGATCTGTAAAAATGGATGTGTATGCAAAACTCAAATTCTGGAATAAGACCAAAGCCCAGAAGTGAATGAACAACCAGAACTTTGCACTGGAGTTTACAGTTGGTGAATGCAAAGAAGAGATGATTTTTAGGGTAAATTCATGTATAAGCTGTATATTCAGTCAGTTGCATATACTTTACGAGACATCGTAAGCCAACCCCAGGAGTTGTTGGCTGTGATTTTACAAGGCAGATGTTCCGTTGGCCATTGCTTTTTGAAGTTTCATGCTCATATCAATGCTGAAATCAACACAAAATGGTCTGCTGACCTATTGCATGCAGCTGACTTTGAATTTAGTATGTTGGTATTATTAAACTGCATTCATAACTCCTAAGCTGTAGATACCATAAGCTGAATGTTGTTTTGTTTTCCACTACATCCTAAGATAAAAGTGGAGGAACTAGTAATGAATGATTGAGGCGTGTGGAAGCATAACCTTAAATGTAACTTGCCTGAATTTTTGTGCAAGTTGATTAACATTGTGTTAACATTGTGTTCTTTTTCAATAAAAATATTAGTTTTTTTTTAAAATATTATTTCATATGAAATTGATTTAAATAATTTGATATTGCATTCTCATTTAATAATTTAATTCTTGCTCTCTTGAAGTAAATGTTTACAAAGGGTCTTGATTGTCAAATACTTGGATGCATACGCTGAAAGGCTTTAAAAAAAGCACAACATAATTACCTCTAAATTAAAACGCACAAAACTATAGAAGACAAGGAAGATTGTCAAAGGAAAAGGCAGTACTGGTGGCCTTGAATACCATTCATTCAAATCTACGGACAATGACTCGACACAGCAGTTGTAGTTGGCTCACTTGAAGATGTTTTTCTATTCACAACAGTGTAACACTGGGAAGGGGACAACTCACCGTGGAGTCATTGGGCCTTCTTTAGGGGCACAGTAAACTACTCCCTTCCTCCACACACACACATCCTCAGAGGTGACTAATAAGGGTTTGCTGAAATTGAATGAGATGAACTGAAAGGTACAGATTTTACAGCCTAGCTGTAAACCACAACACAGTGTGCCAGCTGTGTTTTTTAGGGCGAACATAATAGAATAAGAAAGCAAGTGACTTCTCAGATCAGACATTAATACGATAATGGCCACAGTTAAACTCTCTTCAGTCTCATGATGCCTAACTTCACATCATGATCTTCTACACCTTCTTTGCATTAACCAGTTATAAACTCTGCTGGAAAGTTCTGGGTGTTTATCTACCTCCTTGCATTAACCGGTTATAAACTCTGCTGGGAAGTTCTGGGTGTTTTTCTACCTCCTTGCATTAACCGGTTATAAACTCTGCTGGCAAGTTCTGGGTGTTTTTCTACCTCCTTGCATTAACCGGTTATAAACTCTGCTGGCAAGTTCTGGGTGTTTTTCTACCTCCTTGCATTAACCGGTTATAAACTCTGCTGGGAAGTTCTGGGTGTTTATCTACCTCCTTGCATTAACCAGTTATAAACTCTGCTGGGAAGTTCTGGGTGTTTTTCTTCCTCCTTGCATTAACCGGTTATAAGCTCTTCTGGGAAGTTCTGGGTGTTTTTCTACCTCCTTGCATTAACCGGTTATAAGCTCTGCTGAAAAATTCTGGGTGTTTATCTACCTCCTTGCATTCACCGGTTATAAACTCGGCTGAGAAGTTCTGAGTGTTTATCTACCTCCTTGCATTAACCGGTTATAAACTCTGCTGGGAAGTTCTGGGTGTTTATCTACCTCCTCGCATTCACCAGTTATAAACTCTGCTGGGAAGTTCTGGGTGTTTATCTACCTCCTTGCATTCACCAGTTATAAACTCTGCTGGAAAGTTCTGGGTGTTTATCTACCTCCTTGCATTAACCAGTTATAAACTCTGCTGGGAAGTTCTGGGTGTTTATCTACCTCCTTGCATTCACCGGTTATAAACTCTGCTGGGAAGTTCTGGGTGTTTACCTCCTTGCATTCACCGGTTATAAACTCTGCTGGGATGTTCTGGGTGTTTATCTACCTGCTTGCATTAACCGGTTATAGACTCTGCTGGGAAGTTCTGGGTGTTCGTCCACCTCCTGACTTTAGTCTTGTTCCAGAACCTGAGTGTTGCGTGAACATCTGTTTCACACATGTAGCTTATTTGTATGGTAGTCTGGTAGTCTTAGTTTCAGCTTCATAGCAAACAGGTCGCCCCATCTTTGCTCCGCTCCTGTGCCAGCGAAAAACACTCAGAATGTCCGTTCCCTTGTGGAAAGATTGACAGACTGCTGTCTCAGCATATCTAGCATACACTTATTTGTATGCAAACTCTTGGTTCCTAGCCTCTCAGGCAGATTTACTCTGACTTCAAAGGATGCTCCCTCTTAGTTGACTCATAAGACATGTTTGTTATGGAGACAGTGGGTCTATGCTTATTCTCCCCAGAACTCACAAGGGGAACATCATGGTCAAGGTGGGGACGGATGTAAGGATTTTATGGGCTGCAGTCCCATATTCTATGTTATAAGTCAAATGAAAATTATGTTTAATTTTATTGAATTTTGCCATATATGAACTTGATGCCATATTTTAAAATACACTGAATGTCTTTCAATTGCATTGTTTCTGTTCAGTTCTTTTTCTTTTACCCCCACTATTATAACGTATTAAATAATGTGATTTTACCATATGAAATGTGAATATTTAGGTATTCCTTGATTGATACTGGAGTTAGGTCCTTGAAGATCAGGCTGCAGATAAACTAATACTCCTGGTAGAACTGTTACAGTAATAACACAGATAATGTCATTCATCTTTTCCAAAATTGGAGTGCTTAAGGTTCATAAATGAAATGAAAACTGGGAGGGTGTATTGTTTATGATTCAGTTTTTAACCCCCAGTGGAGCATAGGCCCTCAGCCAACTCAGTTCATGTTGTTTTGCCCTTCGCTTTTGCATGCAGCTCTCACCATGTCCTTCCCATCTTTTTAACTTCACTCTCTAGCTCCCATCTCCATGTGTTATTTGTTCTTTTTTTTATTTCTATACCCCTGTGGGTTCCAGTACAAAGACATTCTAGTTTTATTGTTCTCAGGTGTTCTCAACATATGTCCTATCCAATACAAGTGTCTTTTCTTCATCTCTTCTTCAACCTGTTTAGTTCTGTCCCAAAGCATTTAGTTCCATCTATTATGTGCAGGCACCAGTTAATAAATGTTTGTAGTTTATTAGTAATTGCTTTCTGTCAGATATTTGGTGAGTTGGTCGTCTATGATTCCTTCATTGCTCTCATGCAGTCAACTGGTTCTTGGCTTAGAGAAGGGAAAAGACATTTCAGCCATCTGTACAGTGATATGACTAAAAATACAAGCCCTATTCATGGCTCAATTGACCTGAACATCAGTGCATCAGATGTAAAGAGTTAAAACTCAGAGGATTCACAGCAAACAATCATCTGGGTATTAATTTTATGGTGGGACAGCTGCAGAGGATCGGCATCTTTACAAGAATGGCATTGTGTGGGCAAGAGTTTTGACAAATCTGCAGCTTTGGGTTGACAAGAGAAGACAACTCTACAGCTTTGGGTTGGCAAGAGAAGACAACTCTGCAGCTTTGGGTTGGCAAGAGAAGACAACTCTGCAGCTTTGGGTTGGCAAGAACATACAGCTCTGCAGCTTTGGGTTGACTAGGGGGAGGATGAGACTGATTAAGGATTTTCTGGAATCAGATATATTGGGCCTAATTAAGGTATCAGAGTCTGTTTTAAATAAAGTGTGCATATCCATTATCAACCATCCCCAATGTTTGTTGACTGTAGTTTTACTTGGCAATTATATATTAAGTTCATAAACCCAAAAGTCAAAGGTGCCAAACGAACACAGAAAAGCAGATGGAAAATAGGACTGCATAGGACTAAAAGCAGGAAACATCCTAAGTCAATACAGTTAACTCTCAGGTCCCTCTGTTCACTCTTACATACGGGCACACAAAAAAATGACAATTTTTTTTAAAACCAAAAAATATAACCACTTTTATTTCTTGAAAAGTCTCACATCTACACATAAAGAAATAACCCACACATCAATTCAAATCAACCAGACGTGCTGAACTTTAATAAAGTGAGGAGTCTACCCAGATCTGAGGGAAGACCATGAATCTGTACTGTATAAAGTGTAACATCCAACCTTTGCAAGAG